CCCTTGTGCTTTTCCCCCCCCCCCCCCCCCCGAGAAACAACGAAGACCTGAGACATGCTGCACCTGGCTCCGTGGGATTCATTAGCTGGGGCGACAGTCGACACGAGCCGACCTCTGCAGCCGTTCCGATGCGTCGGCTGAAAAATTTGTAAATTTGAAAACTTTTAAAAGCAAACTTGGTCTATATGTCGGCACGTTAAACTTCACCGCGATGAAGGCAGTATTTCTTAGGCCTCGAGCGGAATCTGCGAACAGATACACACACAGATGAATTCGAGATTCAGAGCCAAACGTACTCACTGTTGACATACCAGCAATTCTCAGCATTTTTACTCCCTTCACAACATTCGAAGACAACAAAAAAAAAAAACAAAATGCAAAAAATCCTATGCCTTGGGAAGCCCAAGAACCCAAAAGCCGAAACTCGAAGAAAAAGCGACCGCTGAGATGCCGATCGGCTGTGTCGATCGTTGGAGTGTCGATCAGAGGAGTCGGAGGAAGCGGGAGGGTCGACGAGTATGTTGATGCATGCATGTGTAGCTAAGGCCAGACGCGTTTGCCTGGCCCGCATGTGAACGGCTGCTTGAATCTATTCTTGCCTCCCCGGGGTTTCACTTTTAGCACACGCTGGGCAAATGAGACATCGGCCCTAAGAGAGAGTCTGCGCTCTGGGTCTGTTGCTTCCTTCGCTCAACGCTCCGTCCCACTTCTCGTGTGTGTGCCCGCGCCCGCAAAACGCGGAAAATTCCTGGCCGGAGTGCGCCTCAGTGTCCGTGCGGTGACCGACGTGCGATGAAGAAGCACAAGGTGAAGGACGCGGCGTCGTCCGTGAACAAGAAGGAGCGTTTCCTACTCACTCGCAAGACATGGCGGTACATGTGGGACTCCGGCCGGAAGTTGTTGCCGGAGGGCGACCACACGGCCGAGGACCTGGCCAAGATCGAGGAGCATTTCCAGCGGGTCTGCCGGTCGGAGGAGGGATTCCTCCTGCTCCAGACGGAGTCCGGCGGCGGTCCTCTCCGGACTCCGGACCGGGACCTGTCGGAGGACGAGGTCGACGCGGAGGACGAAGACGACACGGAGACGCCGCTCGTGTCGCTCGGCGAAAGCGTCACGCCCCTGGCCCCCACCGACGAGGATCCGTTCGACTTCAACAAGCCCCATCCGGTCCCGTCGCAGAGTTACATCCTGCAGCCGGGTTCCAGCCTGTCGCAGCCGATTTTGGCCGTGCCGGCTCGCGACGCCGCCTTGCGACGCGGCTCCAAACTCACGACCTACGAGGACGGAAGCGCCGTCGTTCACGCCCTGCACGTCCTCAAGCACAAAGGTCAGGAGCTGATCAAGAGCCGAGAGGACCTGTCGACCATCCGAGGCGTCCCCTTGAAGTCTCGACCCCCGGACCTGCAACTGCAGCCGGAACAATCGAAGCGAGTGGAGAGACGCATCTCGAGGGCCGTCCAGACCCTGCCGTTTTACGACCCGGACTCCCTGGTCGACGAACACGGTCAAAAGAAAGGCGACGAACTGCCGTCGGAGAAAAGCCACGAATCCAAGCGAAACTCGGCGGATTCCGGCCTCTCCGAATCCACGCTCGAAACCATCAAACGCTACTTCAAGCTCGTGCGACGGAACTCGAAAAGCGAGAAAGAAAAACTGGACAAATTCCGCAAGGTGAACTACGACAAAACCCTCCGAGACATCAAGGCCAAGGGCGACCAATCCGTCTTCGTGGACGAAGGAAACTCGAAAGGCGTCCAGGTGAACGAACCCTTCCCCGTGTACACGACCGCCGCCCCCGGCACCTCACCCAAAATGGTGATGAAAACCGTGACGATGACGTCATCGGCCGCCGCGAGCGACCGGTCCAGCGAAGGCAAGGGAAGCCTCCCGACCAGCCCCCGCTATTCCATCACGGTCTGCGACGACCTGGGCGTGAGGGAGCTCCGCCAGGCGATGATGATGCAGGACCCCTCCCGCCAGTCCATGTCGGACACGGGGCATCACAGTCAGATGAGCAGCAATCGCTCCAGCGTGGAGATCGAGATCGACGAAGTGTTCCCCAGCAGCTCCGCCTCCACCCCCCTGTCCCCCTTCTCTCCCCCCATGGCGGCCACCCCCCCGAACGTCACCAGCCCGCCGCCGCACAAAACGAGTCAAGGCGTCTTCCACGAATCCGGATTCGTGCCGACCGACTTCTGGCAGCAGCTGCAGCAGCAGCAACAACAACAACAACAGCAACAACAATACTCCCAACAGCAACAACAGCAACTGCCGCAACCACAAATAGGTCAACCAGCACACGTAGGGAGTCATGCACAAGCACAGAGCCATCCTCAACAGCATCCGCATGTCCCAGTACTTCATCAGTCGCCAGGTAATGCTATCTCGCAATCAGGAGCACAGGGTGCCGTCTCTTGGCCAGAATACGTACCTCTTATTCAGGGGATCCACTTCGCGCACTTCTTGCAGTCTCAGCAGACTCAAGCTCCCAAGCAGGGCCAAATGATAGTGCAAGGACTAATTGCACAGAGTCCGTACGTGATGCCCACTCACGGAAAGTCGGGGCAACCCGGAACGACCCAGTTGGCAACTATCGGACAGGGCTTCGCCGCAGCCTCTCCATCGTTTAGTCAGCAGCCGGCGCTTGCCCTGCAGCAAGCGGGGCAGCAGGGATACTCCGTAACGGGACAAGCTTACGTGCAGCAGCCTGGGCAGGCAGTCAGGGCTCAGGGGCAACAGGCAGGCCAGGCGACGCAACTTCTCGGCCAACAGATGGGACAGATAGGGCAGATTCGCGGGCAGCAGCTCGGTCAAATGCAGCAGGGATACGTCCAATCCCAACAGCAACTGCAACAGAGTCAATCGGCGCAGGGCTACCCATTGCAGACACAGGGATACCCATTGCAGACACAGGGATACCCATTGCAGGCACAGGGATACCCATTGCAGGCACAGGGCTACGCATCGCAGGCACAGGGGCAAGCAGCACAAGCAGGACACTCGGCACAGCACCAGGCAGGGCAACCGTCACAACAGGCACAGTCAAACCTCATGCAACAATATGCACAACCTCACGTCCTCATGCAACAACACGCACAACCTCACGTTCTCGGTCAACAACACGCACAACCACACGTCCTCATGCAACAGCATTCTCAAGCTCACGCCCTCACGCAACAGCATGCTCAGACTCACGTCCTCATGTCGCAGCATGCTCAGGGTCACGTACCGTACCATCAGGCTCAGGTTCAGGCTCAGGCTAACGTGCCGCAACAGCAAACGCAATACCAGCATCAGCATCAGCCGCAATCGCAACCGCATCAGCAACAGCCGCAACCCCTTCAGCAGCAGGCAGCGTTAGGGCAAAGACAAAGGCGGGACATTGGAGAGACTAATGCGGGGATGTCTCCTTCAGTGCCGGGGAGGGGGAAGGATCAACTCGGAGGAGGAGGGGGAGGGAGATCGGTCGCTAAGAAGATCTGGAGAGGGAGGTCCCGAAGCCAACCCAGGGGCACCGGGGGAACCGGGACACCTTGCCATTGGGCTCCTTCGGTAAGTGCTCGAGAGCCCGTTTCATTTTTCCTAGGCATATACGCTATTGAGACGTCGGTGAATGCCGTGTAGAAGCATATGCCCCGAATGTTGAGACCTTCTTAAGTTAATGGTCCCTTAAGAATCCACAGACTCCTCTGGGGGAAGAAAGAGCTCCTTTATTTCCCTTAAATGAGTTTTCTGCATTCGGACCTGTGTATATACGACAGAGGGTACTTAGTGCTACTTTTTTTTTAGATATGCCTCAAAATGTAACATTTTTGGCACTCAGTTCAGTTCATTCTCAAGACAGTACCCAGCATACCCTTTTCACCGGCTGAATCAACTGTAAATATTGAGCTTTTTCATGGCAGATCTTGCTTCTTCGCCCATCGAGGGCCTCCTCCAACGCCATCAAAGCTGGTATGGAGGAGGCAGTCGCCACACCCTTTCTCGTGCTTTCCAAAACGATTTAATTGCTGCAATTGCTGCAAGTTTTTATTCAGGTTTAGTTGTTTTGCTGTTAATGCCACGGCCATGTCCTCCCCTTCCTCCCCCTCCTCCTTCCCCTTCCTCCCCCCCCCCCCCTCTCCTTCCTCCCCTACATTTCCTCATTCGTCTTCAGCCGGCTTCAAGTTTAAATTTCTCTCAGTTTGAAAGAGTTGCAAATCGTGCTCTGAAAGGACTTCGAAAATGCCAGACCGATGGCACCATGTGTCAAATTCCCAGACAACACACTCCAAAGGCTGTTTCTTTTAATTATTATTATTTTTAAAGTTATTTGAGCAACTCATCCTCCACGAATGACCCAATTCCTTTTCCTCGGTCGTCGCAATCTCTATGGAGAAGACAATAGCCGCAAGGAACCGAATTCAGACGATCCCCCAACTTTTGCTTCAGCCTTTCAACCTTTCAGCCTCTCAGACTGACTCGTGTGACTCTGCACCTGGTTTTCACGGTCTGACATGTTTCTTTGCCGATTTGCTCCCTCGTCTCGAAGATTGGCATGGTGACGTTCCTCCTCAGCAGTCACAGCACAAATTCCTACAGTGCATTTCCAGCATATTTGGACGTTCGGGACTCTACGCGGCGCGTTTCGCTTGCGTTCATCACCCGTATGCCAACGGGGTCCGCGCCAGCCAACATGGGTTGTGACGTCAGCGAGCCAGCCAGTTTGGACAAGAATAAAAAAAAAAAGGAAAGACGGAGCTCCTTCTGGCCACGCCTTTCGACGCTCCGGCTTGCGGGGGCGGGGCCCTTCGATTGCGAAATTCCCTTAGATTTTTCCCAGAGGAATTTTTCCCTCGGTGAATTATTTTCAGAACGGTCTCACCCAAATAGCACTTCCTCCAAAGGTCAACAAATTTCCTCGGGAATTTTCTCTCCGTTCCGGAATGGAGATTTCCAATTTACAGGCACGAGAACGAAATGTGGCATCTATTTGTGGCATCTGGCATCTATCAGGAGCCTGTTTGCCACCAGTTTTTCACGCCGGAAGCTCATTCTCCCGTTTGACTCGAGTAGCGAAGGAGTGGCGGGAGTTTCCGAGAACAAATAACGAAATCCTTTTGGCGAGCAAACGTATTTAAACAAGGATGGAAGAGTAATGAGTCGGCGTGCAGGAGGAAAGCATTTGCTTTCTTTTTCCAAGAGTTTCTTGAAAAATGAAGTTTTTTGACAGGACGATTACCGGTTGGTGCCTTTTCGGGGAATCGAAGGATTCACTCAGCCTGCTGAAGGATTTGCCCAGCCTGCTGAAGGATTCGCTCGGCCTGCTGAAGGATTGGCCTGCAGACATGCGGGGCTATTTAACATTCGTTAAATATTCCGACCTGAAATGTTCCATTCGTTGTTGTCCCGTTGAATTTCAATTATTGTTTTTTTAAATATCGAGTTCCGAGGGCAGTAACCGCAAGGGCAAGTGGTACTGCAAAAGCTTTACGCCAGATAAGCTATTTGCGTATATATTTGCACTTTGTTTACCAAAATACCATTCTGCTTCCAAGCGCGAAAATTTGAGTCGCAATTGCAAATCGTCCTGTCCTGCAAATGTCCTGCAAATGAGTCGTTAGACGCGGAAAGGCCTCGAGCCAAAAGGAGGTCGAATGAGCTAGCTAACGATATAAATGATCTTTTCGTGTGAAAGCCTGTTAAAGAAGCGCGTTTAGCTAAAAGGGGTACTTAAGAATCCTTTAGCCGCTAAGATCGCGATCGGGATGTCTCGCAAACGAGGGACATGACAACGAGTTGTTTTGCACGCATTCTTCGCTTCCGTCATTCTGAAGAATGTGCATTATTCGCTTCCGTCATTCCGGGGAATGCGCATTCTTCGCTTCCGTCATTCTGAAGAATGTGCATTCTTCGATTCCGCCATTCTGAAGAATGCGCGTTCTCGCCGGGAAACGCGAAGAATGCGAGATGGCAGTGATCCGTCAGGAAGGTCCTCAAGAGGGGAATGACGAAGCGGTTCGGGGCCGAAAGTCCCTCTCGCTTAATGCTCGACTAAGTGCTTAATTTCTCCCTTGAGAGACGTTTGGGAGACGAATGACCGCGATGCGTTTCGTCGAGGCACCCCCGGCTCGTGGCACCCCCCGCTCCTGGCACCCCCGGCTCCTGGCACCCCGGCTCCTGGCACACGGCCACCCCGAGGAAAAAAGAAGACAATGAGCCGAACTGGATCATCCGCGGCGGAGATTCCCCGGCGTTTATTGGACGGGCTTCCCGCTTTTCTGCGCCGGAAATCCAAGAAGTCACTAGTAGGGCAAACACGGGGTGGCGGGCGTCGTCTGAGGGTTCCCACTGAGGGTTCCCACCTGGGAACCCTCAGACTCACTCCGATAACCCCCGGATTCCTTGGAAAATGCGTTCCGCGATGTTTCTTTCTCTCTTCGTCTTCCAAGAACTTACATAACCCTTTCATGGCTCTTTCATGACTCTTTTCATGGTTCTTTCATGACTCTTTCACGGTTCTTTCATTACTCTTTCATGGCTCTGTCATGACTCTTTCGTGACTCATTTGTGACTGGTGACTTGTGACGGATCCAAGACGATAAAGAAACTTCTTACTTCGTTTAAACTTGTAACTCTCACGGGGGAAACAGTTTTCTTCAGCTGCAGATTCGGCATAAATCCTCGCGTTTCACATTCCTGACTGCGAATTTCACGCGACTGAAACGTCAAAATAAATTTTCCCGCGGTTCTTGTGCGGAACCCCTCGGAATCAGCAATGGGATTGGCGGCAATGGGGGAGGGGGGAGTCCATAGTCATTTGCATGAAAAGGTTATTCGCAGAGTGCGAACGGGTTCATGGCCTCATTTGCATAAAGTCTTCATTTGGATGAAGAGGTCATGGACCGCTCAGCCGGATTGGCGATCGAATCGGGACGGATCGGCGATTTTTTCCCGTTCGGGGCGACCCCAGGCTCCGGTCGATTACGGGAAAGAAGCATTAAGGCGACCTTTGATCTTTCCGGATGCAGTAACCATCCGTTGCACATGGGTCTGAAAATAGTCTTCGCGTGGGGTTTGCTAAGTTCAAGGTCTTGGAGGAATGTTTGTGCGCATTAATTTTATTTATTTATAAATATTTTTTCATACTTTTTTGATTTGTGCGTTTTAATTGTTTACTTATTTACAAATTATGTGCGTGGGATTTCGAAGGTACGGGACATTTCCATCGCGTTAAGTCAGCATTATCATAGTCATTCCATTAAAGCCAAACCTGAAAGAATTAACCGCAGTCATTCGAAGGTGACCGCGGTGACCGGAGGAAACAAGCAGAAACGGATTTATCCGTTCTGCGTTTTTCAGTGGGATCAGGCAACAACTATTCGATTCGGACCATTATTTAAAAAAAAAAACGTCACCACCTGCCAAGCCGCATGAGTCACCGATAAGAAAAACCAACCAAATTAGAACGAAGCGAGCCGGAACAGTCAGACAGGCCTTGGCCCCAAACCGGTAATTGCCTTCTTGGCCTCGATCGAGACGATTCATTCCAGACCGAGGCCTTGAGGGCGACCTTTGACCCCTGCCAGCGACACAAAGCGGCGAGAGACAGAGACAGAGACAGGAATTTTCCTCTGAATGGCGTCAGCGAGGGGGGAGAACGATGTTTGGGTCGGCCAAGGCAAAGGTTTCCTTGGCACAAGCTGCTATTTTAATGACTCGGTTAATGAGGACTCTCATTCAGCCGAGACGCAGGCTCCGACCTCCTCTGCCTCCGAATTCCCATACTCCTTTTTTTTTTTGTTTCCCTTAACATTTCCTGGTTAAAGAGCATTTTGTTTCCTCAGCTTTGGTGAGGATACAGAAGGGAAAGCAACATTTAAACTGACGTTAACATTTATGATTAAACAAGACCCTAGACATTTCAATACTCTTTATTGTCCTACCTTTCCTTCTTTATCACTTCCTTCCCTTTGGCCTACATTTTCGATCGGGCATTTATTTACATTTATTTTTAAGTTGAATTTATAAATGATATATTTTGCCCTATTTAATTCACACGCCCGAAAATCTCCTCCCCTAGGGAAAGGGAGTGTGGAGGAACACCGCCGGCCGCCAGGTGACCCTAACAGACACGACCCTCCTGGAACTAAGCGAGATGGAGCGCGTCCACCTCCAGCAGGTGGCCGTGATGCAGCTGGCGGAGCTGAACCTCGGCTGCCCCATCCGGATCCCCAAAGGTCTGCTTTTTCCCTCTTTCCCCTCTGTTTGGACGTTCGTAAACGGAGATGAATGGAAGGTGAAGGATCCCAGGTTGCCCCCCCTCCCCCCTCACCCCCCTTCGCCCCCTATACCTCCCGAGATGGCGTCAGTCCCCGTCCCTCCATCTCGGCTCCACTCGTCAATCACCTTCGTGCAAAACACACACACGCACTCCCAGAGATCGGCATCGTGCCATCAAGCATGCCCCGGCTTGCGTAATCTCTTGGCATCAAGCAGGTTCTCTTTAATTTGTGACCAGAACCGTTTAGCGTTATCATCGTTTCAAATAGGAAAAAGATTAGGAGAATTCCAACGATCCAACACTACGGTAAATGATATTACAGTAAAGCACAATAAATGATTCCCATCGTAAGATCCCACATTAATTCACGTCATATCTGGTTTACAAATTGTTGGCTTAAATAATGTTTATGGTACTGATTTGATTATTTGAAATGATTTGATAAAATCCGAATGATGAAATTTCCTTAAATCACTCTGATGAGCAATATGTCAACACCCTCCCCATATTTTTTTTTCCTCCGCTCAAAACTGCTAGATAACCACCCCCTAAAGCAATTAGCCAGAGTCGGCACTAAATTGAACCGTTGAAGACCGGAATGATAAGGAGTGCCTGCACGGAACCAGAATAGAACATGAAACGACATTTCCATAGTTTCAGTCACAATGTGTTTTTCCTTCTTGAGATGGTCGAAGTGCGGGGTAAATATAAGATTGTGTTCCTTTGAAAACTAAATATAGAAAAAAATATATATATTTCAAATTTAGAGGCTTAGAGAAATTCGAGGAGTTACCGACAAAAGTGTGAAAAAATCGTTCGAGTGAACCGAACCCGACAGCGTTCGAACATCAAAATGGCATCGGAATGGGTCGAAAAAATCTTCAGCTTGAATTCTTTGGAAAAGTCGCATGCCGACGGAGATTCCTGTGAAGGCCCTGCCGATGGGATTCCTGTGAAGACCCCTGGCCGATGAAGATTCCTTGCGAAGGCCCTCCCGCGCCTGGAATGCGGAAACGCATGCATCGGTTTTAGCAGCCGATACCCCGAGTAATAGGAAAGCGAGGAACAGGGAGGGGGGAGGAAGAAGGGGAGGCAGAAGGGGAGGCATCGGAGGAAGAAGGGGAGGCACGGCTTTGCAGATATCGCCGGGTGCCAAAACGCACGGAGCAACTATGCAAACTTGGCAGGGTCGCATCCACGCGCCTTCCCTCCCCTTCCCCTCAGAGATGCCAATGCAAACTTCTTGACAGATCAATCCCCCCACACACCACTGGCATTCATATTCCCTCGTATTTATGGCCCATTCGTTACCTCCCCGACTGAGAGGCCCGTTCAGCGGCGCGCTTTGGGATTCGCGAAACGGCATTACAAAAGTGACAAATTCCAAATTTCTGCTCCGGGTCGTCGCGAGCGCGTCCGTTTTTGCTGCAAAACGCAAAAATACCCCGCGAATGTATATTTTTTTGTGCCGCAAGAAGCGGCAGACCTCGACCAGAAAATAAATGGAAATGGCATTCCAAACGCTCTCGGTCGTCATGGGGAGATGTCTTTGTGCTATCGTAAAAGAGCGTGGGACGAGACGTGGCATACCTGGTAATTGTTCCCGGGTGAGAAGGCACGGGGCACTTGCCAAGGTGCCATTCGGGATAAATGGGACATGCAGGAATGCAGCCAGCCTCCACAGAGCCTATAGACCCCCCAAGTTCCATGGACCCCGAGTTCCCTGGACCCCGAGTTCCACGCACCCCGATGAATGCCTCGCTTCTCTTCCTCGACGCGTCATAACGGGGAGATGATGGGAGGCGAGTCGATTCCCGACCTCGTTCGCGAGGGGCTGTCGACACGTGGGAAAATCTGCAGCTTCTGAGCAGCAAAAAAATTTGTTGGGAAAATTCCAACCGCCGGTGAAACCGTAAACTGCATCGTTTCCGAAAAGCACCTTATGCCATATAAGTCCCGCCGCGGTGGAGAAAGTTGGCACCGACATCCATCCAGCCGATATTGCACAGACTCCACAACCCGAAGACTAGACAATTTTTTGTTAAATCCTACATTTTCTGAGTTGTCCTGCGAATCGCGAATCTAACGCAGCGCATGCTTGCGTCCCCCAGAGACGGAATTGAACGGGTCCGGAGGGGAGAAGCCGAAGCGGCGGGCCCACCTGCTCAAGCGGAAGGCCGTCTCCACGGGGCTCAAGGTCCCGGACAAGGCCGACTCTCATCTCTCGCCCGATAGTGAGTCCTTTCGACCTCTTCTCTGTGGGGGGGTGGGGCCTTCTGTCGGCCTGCTCCGTCGGTGTGGGCGGGGTTTTTTGTCTGGCAGTGTCTCCCGCCTCTTTCGCTGTCGGTTCTTAAAAAAAAAAGTGGCGATGGAATGTGCCGTATGGTGACACAGCGTGGAGAAGCATGCAGACTGGTAGTCGGCCGAACACCGGTTTATAAAAAAATACGATTTTTTCCGGTGGTTTCTGAAAATATGTCAGTTTCCAATTTTTCCATGTTCAAGATAATATCCTTCAAGTTATCCAATAGCAGGGTAAAACCACCCGTGTTCGGACATCATAAAGTAACTTGTTATAAAACAAAGCATTTGCGGGGTCAATTTCAGAAACTGCTCTTCCAAGCTGCGAAGAACTGTTTCTGAGGGTGAGCTCAGCGATGCCTGGTTTTGTAACGATGTACGTGATGGTGTCCTAACTTGGTTGGTTTACCATATTCATACCCTTCAAATAATAATTAACACGTTTGCTGCCAAGCAGAATTTGTGAATTGAAAAATGTATCACCGGTGATGCACTTGGAAGCCAACGTGTAGATAGAATAAAAAATATAAATATAACAAGCTTAACAAGCACTATCCTATAGCCCTGTAGTGCTATTATAAATCTGATGGATTGCAAGTCCTGCAAAAAAAGCCGCCAATCAAAAATGCAAGAACACCCTTGCTGTGGAATTTTGGTAACTAAAAAAATCTTGACAATGATGCTCTGCAGCTAGTTTTTAACTTTATATATTTATCATTATTAGATGCAATTCACAGCTTACATTTGCATTGGACCATCGAAAATTATGGAAGTTCCGCATTAGGTAAGGGTTTTCTTCATTCGCTGCAATGGACCACTTTAGCTGCCTATATTTATCATCTATCATAAATTTACCCTCCTTTCATGTACCACGTGGTTCGCCTGTTACAAGTAAAACCGAGTATGTCAGATTCATGTCGCAGCGACTGGGAAATCAAACGATCGGTCTACGATTTCATGAACATGGAAATTAAGTGGTTTTGCCACATCTTTCGAACTTCGTAACCCCGTAGCATCGTGGACAGGCTTTCAAATATGGTGCACTAGAGTGCAGAGTTTTGGGGGAAAACCAGGTTTGGGAATTTCCCAAAGCACGCAAAATAGATAGACGGCATCTGGCTGGTTTCACATGGAGGACGAAAGTCCCTCTAGAAAAACATAGCACATTTCTCATTCCCTTTGGATCGTCAAGTGGGACCGGGACAATGAAGTCTCTCCTCTTGTGGTTCTTGTCGGTCGGCTTGGCCATGGCCAGCACTAGCCACTGGCCTCAATTCGACAAACGTCAGCCCTCCCCAATTTATTCGCAAAAGCTCCATCTGCCACCGACGAGGCAAGAGCCGAGCCCCGACGAGCTTCTTCCAACTCACCTTGTGCCGTCAACTTATAACGTCTCCCTCTTGCCTCGATTCGACGAGGCAGCCGGATTCCCAGTCGAGGGTCATGTGGCTATTCACGTGACATGCAACTCTCCGGCCAACAACGTCACGATGCATGCAGTCGACATGACGTTCCGAGAGTTTCAGGTTTACAAAGAAGACACCGGCGAAGAGGTCACAGTCTCGGGAACAGAACAGGATCCAGAACGAGATTTGCTCATCATCAATTTGGACGGCACCCTTCAAACAGGCACGAATTACGTGATAGAGATCTGGTTCGATTACCAACTAACCGTGGACCTATATGGCTTTTATCTGGGATATTATGAACAAGACGGAGAAACCCATTACTTGGCTTCTGCGTTCTCGGAACCAATCGGCACGAGGCAAGCCTTCCCATGCTTCGACGAGCCCGCACTGAAAGCAACCTTCACCGTAACCCTCGGCCGCCAGGAGACATGGACATCGCTGTCAAATATGCCACTGAGCGGGAGCAGCCCCATCCCCGGTGAGCCAGGCATGGTCTGGGACACCTACGAAACCACTGTCCCCATGCCAACGTATTTGGCGTGCTTCGCCGTTTCGGAATTCGAGTCCGTTTCCTCGGACGGCGACACTCCTTTCGCAGTCTGGGCGAGGAGAGACCTTATAGAGTTGGGAGAATACGTACTCACTAAGGTCCACGGAATGGTGGCAAGCTTCGAGGAACTTCTGGGGGTAGAGTACTCCTTGCCCAAAATGGACCTCATCGCCCTGCCACAGTTTGCACCAGGTGCTATGGAGAACTGGGGTCTCATCACCTATCGGGAGTCATTGCTCTTGGGTGATCGATACATTAACGACGCGAACTATCTTTACGCCATCGATTCTGTCACGTCTCACGAATTGGCTCATCAATGGTTCGGGAATTTAGTGACCCTTGACTGGTGGACATACATCTGGTTAAACGAGGGATTTGCTACCTACTTCCAGTACTGGGGTATGTTAGGTCCCAATCCGGGTTGGAACTTGAACGAACTCTCCATCTACCGGGATTTTCAAGGGGCTTTAATCGTCGATTCCACTGAAACCACCAATCCCATCACCTTGGCCGATTGGAACGACCCGAGCAGTAGCACCATAATTTACGCCAAGGGTAGCCGCATCCTGAAAATGGTAGAGCTGTTGCTTGGTTTCGATTTCTTCGCCGGTCTGAACACGTATTTGGTAGACCTGACATTTGGCAACGCCGTGAACGACGACCTGTGGCAACACCTCCAAGATGCTACGTCGGCCGACCTCGGTGGTCACACCGTCAAGGAAATCATGGACACCTGGACCTTGCAACCAGGGTATCCTTTGATCACGGTTACCCGGGATGAGGTCTCCGGTGAATTGACCGTAAGCCAGCGACGTTTCTTCTCGGACCCCAATGTTGAACCGGATTCGACACTCTGGATCGTGCCCATCAGCGTCGCAACGCCTGATTCCTCCGACCCACAACCTGTCTTATTCTTGTCGGAATCCGTGGGGTCCTTGACCCTCGACCCCATGCCTGGGAACGAAGATTTCTTTCTCCTTAATGTGGACTCCTTCTCTTTCTACCGAATTAATTATGAACCTCAAAACTGGATGCTGTTGGCACAGCAATTGGAAACGGATCACTCTGTGATTCCTGCCAATAATCGAGCCCAGTTCATTGACGATGCTTTCACATTTGTATCTTCGGGTCTGCTGCCAGACTTTACAATCCCCATGAGCTTTACCAGGTATCTGGGAATTGAAACTCGATTCGTTCCCTGGGCGACAGCATCGTATCACCTTGACTACATCTTCCGTATGTTCAAATTCACCGAATCCTACCCTTTGTTCCAAAACTACCTATTGAGTCTGTTGGAGCCTCTATTTCCCGACACTCCCTTCGAGACCTTGGAGGATATCCCCGAGTCCTACCCGGACATCACCGATTGGTTCTATGCCGACCTGATCCAGAGCCTGGCATGCCCGATGGGAATCGCGGATTGCAGAGACCAAGCCTTCACCTTGTTTCAGCAGTGGAAAGCCTCGTATGACACAAGCGATCCGGACAAGATCGTACTGAGTCCCAACGTCAAGGCGACGGTCTACGTCGAAGGTTTATATGTTGGAGACGTCGACGATTGGAACTTCGCTTATCAGCACTATCAGTTGACGAATTACGAATCGGAGAGAAATCTCATGCTCATGGCCATGGCTTACTTTCCCGATGCGGATATTCTGACCAACTTCCTTCAAGACATTTTGTCTACCAGTTCCCCTCTTCGACAGGAAGACGGTGTCAGGGCTTTTAGATACATCGCTTTCAATCTCGACGCTCGTCAACTCTCTTTCGATTTCTTGTCTCAGAACTGGAACTCTCTCAAGAATCGATACGGGGATATGACTCCCTTCGTGGAAGCTTTCGTTGATTTCAACACCGAGGCCGATCGAACCGCGCTGTTGAACCTGATGAACGCACATCCCGAAGACGCCAACGCCTTCGCATCCACACTGGCGAGGGTGGAGGTTAACCTGGCCTGGATGGAGCGTCACTTCGACTTCCTTGTTGGATGGCTGGGATCGAATGCCCTTTGAGGCTTTGCTTTTGCTGCTCTGTCTGAGTTTTTCTTAGATATGCGCTGACGCATGTTCATGAAAGGGTAGAATTCTGTCGTACACTTGCCCCAGAAGTAAATATTATTCCATCATATCTTGACTGAGATTGGCTTTTGTCTGTCTTGCTCCATTCTTTGGTCTCTTCTTTTCGGTTTGACTTTTTTTGCGAGATATTTTCCCTCGGACATCGCCGGATGATTGACATGGATACCTCCAATTAATATGTTGGAAAGACTTTGAATCCTGGGGGCATTAATTTTCATTCGATTTTGCTATCGGATAGATCAAAAGATCTATGACTGGCTTAAAGCGCAACATGCGCGATGTAGTTATATGAGGTGTTGGACTTCCTTTTCTTTGATAACACCCTCAGTCGTTGAGCTTTCGACCGATATGTTGGCCCTGTCTAGAGTTTCTCGAACAATCTCGTCCGTGAAATCTGTGGAATGCAATTTCCCGTCATGCTGCCGCACCTAGAATGACTTGCTCAGTTCTTTGATTTCAAATATTCTACACTTGTGCCATTGAGCAGTCTTTTTTTTTTCGTCTTAGCAGCTAGCGCAGCTTTAATCTCGCATTTTCGTGACGGCATAATTAAGACATACGTGTCGTCAATTATGAATGAAAGGATCTCGCACCGATTTTAGAGCAATACCCCAGACGAAATCGAAACTCCTTACTCGGCAATAATGGTCCTGATTGTCGCATTACCAGACATCCACGGGATCTAATGAAATTTAATTCCGGTCACCTGCACGAAACTATATCGCAACACACGGAAGGGCAATTGTCATCTTCTAATAGGCCCAAATACTTATTTTAGTCATGTCATGTTGGGTTTTTGAGATGCCCACCCTTATAGTTACCCAAATTGGGGGTAGAGAATACAATTACTGGAAAATTCGCATCGCCTATTAATGAAACCCTTTTTTCTCCGAGCCTTAACAATTTCCGTCCCATGTCCGTCATATGACTGGTATTAGTCGCATTCAAATCCCCAGAGCAGGAAGTGTTAAGGAAAAGGAACTTCAAATCAGCCGGAATTTTTTTGCGTTCAGAGGGTATGAAACATGCTGACGATTTCTCCATATTATTTCATGCAGGAATGCGAAACGGCGCTTTTTTGAAACGAGGAATTCAATGAATTAATTATTTTTTATCAGACGACATCCCACAAGCGTTCCTTGCGTTCTTTCGAATCTGCCAACATGTCCGAATAGATGCTTGTTCAATCGACACCAATGGAAAATGAGTATGACGAAGAACGAGCTTGTACGTGGCACTTACAGTGCCCGTCAAACGTCTCCCACCCCCCAGAAAGTTCAAGAACATTCTGGAACTTCCATGAGATCACTTCAAGTAGGCAGCGCTGGCCGAGTGACGATCAGAGCCAGTGTTCATTCCGTGCACCTTAGCCTCAATTAACTAACGTATAACGAAGCTTTGATTAGCTTCGATAATCACTTGTGAAACATGGCTTTACCAATCCTTCAGCGTTACGAGATCTCTTCTTCTCTTGCCATCCGTTGGGTCCAAAACTCGAATTGACTGCTGTGGCGAAAACGGTCAAGTGTGACAAGAGGACCTTGAAGTATCGGCTCGATCGATGGAAGGAATCTGAAGATCTGATCGATAAGACTGGTTCTGGCCGACCGCGTGCAACGAAGTCTAAACAAAGTTGAAAGGATTCTTTCGCTCGCCGACCGAGAAATGTTCGCAACGAGCTGCGACATCGAGAACCGTTTAAGTACCATTCAGCGCCGATTGAATGAAGCAAGAGCGAAATTTAGTCCTCCCATGTCCAAGCCTCTGCTCACTGTAGTCCCTCGAAACGATCGTTTGAAATGGGCTAAAGCCCACCTGTCTATCGATTGTGACCACGTGATCTCAGATGAGACCGCGGTAAGTCTGAATCAGGTGAAAGGGCACGCCAGGAATTTGCCGGGAAAAAAAAAAAAAGAAAGTCGCCTAAACCATAAAGCACCCCACCAGAGTCAACGCTGGGTTGCTTTTCGAGCAGAGGCTTTCGTCGCATATTTGCTTCCTAGAGAATCTTGATGCCGCACTGCTGTGCAATATCTACAAGCGCAGCCTCTTGCCGACAGCCAGGGACTAAATTGGTCCCGAATCGACATCGTGGAAACTGCAGGAAGACGATGAATCAAAGCACATGTCGAAGTTGGTAACAAAGTAGAGAGCAAAGAATGGGGTCGGCAATCTCGGTCGGCCACCCATGTCGCCCGACCTCATCTCATTCGAAAATGTGTGGAAACTACTCGAGATGCGGTTGCAAAAGAAAAACCTCACAACTTATCGGTCCCTGGTGTCGGCAACCAGACAGGAGTGGAAGGCAAGTCTTACAGCCACAAGTCTTACAGTCTTACAAGTCTTACAAGTCTTACAGCCAAGCCCATTGAAAATGGGCTTGGCTGTAAGACTTGTACAAAGGATGGAAACTGGTTGCTCTGAAGTAATTTCAAGTCAGAGTGATTTTACATTTCATTAGTGATCATTAATCTTGTGTACATAAATACAATAAAATAATCATCATTTCATCGGTTCGTCTGATAAATTTAGGAGGGATGGAAGATTTTGACGAGTACTGTAGTTGTTAGGATCGCGAAATTGAGCTATCCCATGGACTTGTACATCAGCTCGCCGACGTCTTTAATAAAGTTTATCTCATCATTACGAGAAAATCAGCCCTTCGCTGCAGATTGCTCCCGATTGGGGACCTACCTGATTAATTTTAACACATATTGATTGAAGAGTGTGCGGGGGAATGATTAATTCTAAAATATTTACAAGGTCCTTCATTGGGAAGAATATGAATATATATCTTTATATATTTGATCTTTCTCAACAATAAATATCTTGAAAATATTGTGTTAGTACAATAACCGAGTACAGTTCATTTATATTTTTCATCGCAATTCCTTTATATCTTTGAAATCTCACAAACTCCACCTGTAGATGAATCGTTTATATCACATTTCTCTATTGCAGACAAAAGTCCAAATTGAAAAGAAATAACTGTTTCGGCCGTTTCTTGCAAAATAGTACCATTTAAAACTTTTCAATAGTAACTTTTAGAGCCTTAAAAAAGGGTATATAAAATTCCAAACTTATTTTCCTCCAAGACAACTGTGCAGTAATGGCGTAACAAAAAAAAAAACGAGAACAAGAGAATGTTTCCAATACTGTATAATACCGAACACGTATTTCTGGGGAAAACCGGGTATCAAAATTTCCCAGAGCATGCGAGATGGAAACAACAGCTGTTCGGCTTCGCATCGATGAAGAAAGTCCCCTAGCTGATAAATACAGATTTTTCATTCTCTCTAGATCACCAAATAGGAACGGTACCATGAATACTATTCTCTTGTGGCTAGTTTCGTTCGGATTCGCTTCGGCCGGCCCCAGCCTCTGGCCTCGATCGGATACGTTTCGAAAGTCGCCCATTTACTCAGGAAGGTCCAAGTTACACCCAATAAAACAGGAGCCCAGCCCCGACGAGCTCCTACCAACCCACTTAGTGCCGTCGACGTACAACATCTCCCTCTTGCCTCGATTCGACGAGGCAGCCGGATTCCCGGTCGAAGGTCATGTGGCTATACACGTGACATGCAAATCTCCGGCCAACAACGTCACGATGCATGCAGTCGACATGGCGTTCCGAGAGTTTCAGGTTTACAAAGAAGACACCGGCGAAGAGGTCACAGTCTCGGGAACAGAACAGGATCCAGGACGAGATTTGCTCATCATCAATTTGGACGGCACCCTTCAAACAGGCACGAATTACGTGATAGAGATCTGGTTCGATTACCTACTCACAACAGATCTGGTTGGGTTGTATCTGGGGTCTTACGAACAAGACGGAGATACCCATTACTTGGCCGTATCAGACTTCGAACCAATCGACGCGAGGCAAGCCTTCCCATGCTTCGACGAGCCCGCACTGAAAGCGACCTTCACCGTAACCCTCGGCCGCCAGGAGACATGGACATCGCTGTCAAATATGCCACTGAGCGAGAGCAGCTCCATCCCCGGTGAGCCAGGCATGGTCTGGGACACCTACGAAACCTCCGTCCTCATGCCAACTTATCTGGTCTGCTTCGCCGTTTCGGAATTCGAGTCTGTTTCCTCGGACGGCGACACTCCTTTCAGAGTCTGGGCCAGAAGAGATCTGATAGAGTTGGGAGAATACGTACTCACTAAGGTCCACGGAATGGTGGCAAGCTTCGAGGAACTTCTGGGGGTAGAGTACTCCTTGCCCAAAATGGACCTCATCGCCCTGCCACAGTTTGCACCAGGTGCTATGGAGAACTGGGGTCTCATCACCTATCGGGAGTCATTGCTCTTGGGTGATCGATACAGGAGCGACGCGAACACTCTCTATTTCATCGATGCTGTCTCATCTCACGAATTGGCTCATCAATGGTTCGGGAATTTAGTGACCCTTGACTGGTGGACCTACATCTGGCTAAACGAGGGATTTGCTTCCTACTTCCAGTACTTGGGTATGTTAGGTCCCAATCCGGGTTGGAACTTGAACGAACTCTCCATCTATCATGATTTTCAAGAAGCTTTGATCTTCGATTCTACGGAATCCACCAATCCCCTCACCTTGGCCGATTGGAACGACCCGAGGAGTAGCACCATAATTTACGCCAAGGGTAGCCGCATCCTGAAAATGGTAGAGCTGTTGCTTGGTCCCGATTTTTTCTCCGGTCTGAACACGTATTTGGTAGACCTGTCATTTGGCAACGCCGTGAACGACGACCTGTGGCAACACCTCCAAGATGCTACGTCGGCCGACCTCGGTGGTCACACCGTCAAGGAAATCATGGACACCTGGACCTTGCAACCAGGGTATCCTTTGATTCATTTGGCAACGCCGTGAACGACGACCTGTGGCAACACCTCCAAGATGCTACGTCGGCCGACCTCGGTGGTCACACCGTCAAGGAAATCATGGACACCTGGACCTTGCAACCAGGGTATCCTTTGATCACGATTACCCGGGATGAGGTCTCCGGTGAATTGACCGTAAGCCAGCGACGTTTCTTCTCGGACCCCAATGTTGAACCGGATTCGACACTCTGGATCGTACCCATCAGTGTCGCCACGCCTGATTCCTCCTACCCACAACCTGTCTTATTCTTGTCGGAATCCGTGGGATCCTTGTCCCTCGACCCCATGCCTAGGAACGAAGATTTCTTCCTCCTTAATGTGGACTCCTTCTCTTTCTACCGAATTAATTATGAACCTCAAAACTGGATGCTGTTGGTTCAACAACTGGAAACAGATCACTCTTTGATTCCTGCCAATAATCGGGCGCAGCTCATTGACGATGCTTTCACATTTGTATCTTCGGGTCTGCTGCCAGACTTTTCAATCCCCATGAGCTTGACCAGGTACCTGGGAAGTGAAACCCGATTCGTTCCTTGGGCGACAGCATCGTATCACCTTGACTACATCTTCCGTATGTTCAAATTCACCGAATCCTACCCTTTGTTCCAAAACTACCTATTGAGTCTGTCGGAGCCTCTATTTCCCGACACTCCTTTCGAGACCTTGGAGGATATCCCCGATTTCTTCCCTGACATCACCGATTGGTACTATGACGACCTGATCCAGAGCTTTGCCTGCTCGATGGGAAGCGTGGATTGCCGAGACCAAGCCTTGGCCTTGTTCCAGCAGTGGAAAGCCTCGTATGACACAAGTGATCCGGACAAGATCGTACTGAGTCCCAACGTCAAAACGACAGTCTACGTCGAAGGTGTATATGCCGGAGACATCGACGATTGGAACTTCGCTTATCAGCACTATCAGTTGACGAATTACGAATCGGAGAGAAATCTCATGCTCATGGCCATGGCTTACGTTCCCGATGGGGGTATTCTGACCAACTTCCTTCAAGACATTTTGTCTACCAGTTCCCCTCTTCGACAAGAAGATGGAGCCAAGTCTTTTAGATACATCGCTTTCAATCTCGACGCACGTCAACTCTCTTTCGATTTCTTGTCTCAGAACTGGAACTCTCTCAAGAATCAATACGGGGATATGACTCCCTTCGTTGAGGCTTTCGTTGATTTCAATACCGAGACCGATCGAACCGCGCTGTTGAACCTGATGAACGCACATCCCGAAGACGCCAACGCCTTCGCATCCACACTGGCGAGGGTGGAGGTTAACCTGGCCTGGATGGAGCGTCACTTCGACTTCCTTGTTGGATGGCTTGGATCGAATGCCCTTTGAGTGTGTTGCTGCTCTTCCTTCGACAGATTTCTTCATTGATATCCCTATCTAATTTCACAAGGGTGTTGTATTTCATTGTACGTGGGATATGGTAATAAATATAATTTGCAACATTTCGACTCTTTGGTCACAATAGATACCCTCAGTTCTGGCAATATTGTTCTTATTCGTTCATATGAAGTTAGAGAAAATACTGTAGACTTGTATTTAAAATCTTCCGAATGATCGCTTGAAAGAACGGTATGTATTCTTCAAACGTGACTGTTCCGGTGTCCACGGGTTCCAGCCTCAAAACTTGCTGAATGGACCGAGTCTCCAAACGATGAGATTCACATCGTGCCTACAATGTGTGTCGCCTTTGATATGTTGATTTGCCTCAAGACGAGTTCAAACTATGGGCTGCGTTTTGCTATGCTCTTCCCCTTCCTTCTGTTTATTCAAGGCCACTTGCCTTATCCATTCGAAAATCGATCGTTAACGTACATGTTTGTGAATGCGGTCAATCAATGAGCTCTGTAATTCATCTTTATTAACGGAACATTGGCTTTTCTAATGCACCAAAATGTCGATTCCCGTAATGCGTGAACGATAAGTCGATGAAATCATGATTTACGATCTCTTCAATGAAGGTCAATCCTAAGTCACCGAGACCTGCGCCTTGCTTGCGATCAGCCTATCTATGAAAATAGGACAGATTTATTATTCCATTAAAAATAAAAGTTGTTAGGTAAATCTTTCACGGGATGGAAACCTGTTCGACGACGAAGGCCAGCAAGGTGCCATTGCGGGCATGCCCATCTTCGAGACGCGAGATTTCCCTCCCCCCCCCCTCCCTGTTTTCGCTTGAAATAACAAGGAGAAATCGGGAGAGGGACTATGTTTTTCCGGTCCATGCAGATTACTAGATTGGCAGGCTTTTAAGATAAGTTTCCTTCTGGAATAGCGACGCTACCCCAAAAGCTGTTCGCTAAATAAATAAAAATATTTACCCCGAGTGCGACGACCCCGACATCGCAAGAGAAAACAAGCAAAGCAAAGCCCAATCCGAAACCTTTTTCAAGCGCGTCATGGACATCAGGGATGATACGTTTATGAATTTCACTTTCATATTCTATTAGCCTTTTACTGAAATTCAAAACGGATAGATTTCAGGTGTTCTGCATATATGGGTTGTAAAAATTTCTTAAAGTTTCGAGCAATAGTATCCCAACAAACGTTGATCTTTGTTCTAATATGAACAAACATCGAAGCAGTTGCCCTGATACTCGATTTTTTTTTTACAATTAGGGAGGCTCGCTGATAAATGAAATATAAAAAATTAATAATTGGAACAACGAGTCAAGGCTGAACATATTTTTTTTAGGAGGGTTTTACTCATTCTGCGTTGAAAGGGAATACCAGCGCCTTCAGCGATTCCGCATGCGATCGGATCGACTTGGCTTCCGTTCTCGCTTTTGCAGGTCGAATCGGCAAAACCGACGAAGCCTTCTTTTTTTCGTTTTCGCATAAATATTGTATGTTTATGCCATGACTGTCTAGTGCTAGTGAGACCAAACAGATTATTTTTTTTAATCCTCCTCTTCGCAAATAATATAGGAAAAAAAAAGAAATAGTTTTTGTGCTCCTATCTTGCTAATTAGCGCGTAAATGTGGATGAAGTCTGTATCTAGTCTTCTACTGCGCACCAAGTCTTTAATGGACAGGAGTCCTTGAGTCTTTGAGTCCTTGAGTCATTGAGTCTTTGAGTCATTAAGCGCTTGAGCCATTGAGAGTCTTTGTCTCCTGCCGTTTTTGACGCCAAGACACGGCTGGAAATCATCTGTTCCGCCCTCGTCAGAACAAAAGCGCCAACTAGAAGATCCTAATAAACACTTTGCTTGGCATGCAACTATAGTATGAAACCACCAAGACTAAAATTGAGCCTCCTTCGATAGCTCAGTTGGTTAGAGCGGTGGACTGTAGGAGTGATGCAGGAATCGCTGGTTCGGATCCGGATCCTTCATTTTCTCGTTCTTTTTTATTTTTGTTTTGAATCATATTTCCTTCATTGTTTTTCTCTTGGATGTTCTTGAGCTCCCTTGTCCCTGGCGTGTTGCGACGCCTTACCGTGTCTGTTTCACATCGGAGTATTAGGTGAAATACTGATGAGAAATCTGAAATAGATATACTGAAATAGATGAAACCAATGTAGATTCGAGAATGTCACCATCTCTCGATATTTTTTTTTACATTTCCGTTTCCTCACCAAAAATGAACCTGACCGAATTTACTGACGGTGTTGGTCAGATCGCTCCAAAAAAATGACCATCGTCTGAGACGTCACTTAGTATTGGATTTGGAATTGGAATTGGAATCGTTCCGGATCCAAAATCATTTTAATTCCGCGATAAAGATTCCACACTAACTCCAATAATCTTACACGTCCACGCTCCAACGCGGAACCACGAGAAAAACGATTCGAAGCTCAAACACCTACGTACCGAAGAATGTACCGAAGACAGTAGCTAAGCGTACAAAAGACTGCCTCATGCACCTGCAATCATTCACGGGTGTAACAGGACTCGCGTCACATCTCGACAAACAAACATGCGTCGTTTGTTCAAATCCGACAGGTGGGATCCCCTCCTTTTTTTTATTTTGTTTTCGTTATTTTTTTTTACCCAACGTACCGTTAAGAAAAAAAATAGCCAAGTCGAGCGGAAACCCGACGCGCCGGAATGGCAAGGGCAATGAGGCTCGTCCCATTTGGAAGCGAAAGCGCATCGCTCGAATTCGGAGCATCCCATCAAGGCTTATCGGTTCGGCAGCCATTAAAAGCATTCCGTACTTTTCTCTCATCGGAGGGCCTAACGAGACTCCCTTTTGTCTATATTCCTCTTCATCCCTCGTTAGGACCGCGGCGCGGATCTGCCAATATCAACAATCCGAGCATTTTATTTTGCATAAATCTATCTATAGCCCGTAGGTCGTCCAAGAAATTTTCTCAGTCGTGTTTCCTCGCGGATTTTTTCTTTTTCATCATCTGGATGTTTTGCACGAGGAAGGGCGGCTACACCTCTTGTCAGTCTTTTCCCTTCCCTCAACCACGCCCCCCCTCCCCCTCCCCCTCCCCCCTCCTCCCCCACCAAGCGCGGAGTAAAAATAGCAGGGCGCGCAAAATTCCATCCTATTTCCCTCGCTGTGGGGAGAATGCGGGATGCGGCCGTCTCCTCCACCCCCACGGAGGCACGTGACTCCCGATGGAACTTTGGGGATTCGAGGCTCCTGTGGAACGCGCCGGGAGGAGACCATCTGGTCGATTATCGCCGATAAAGTTATTCTTTCAGAAGAAAAGCAACTGGATGCGATAAGGCACGGATTGCATAACACAGGAGACACGCAGGCTTTTCTTTCGCTTCCCCTCTGACGTTCCTCCATGGAGGAAAGCATAATGGTGCCTTTGTCGGGCCAAACTTGCACCGTAAATGGAAGAAGTATCCGTGAAGTTATCGCGAGAAGGGAGCTCAGAAAGTTCACCAATATGTTCCAATAGATTAGGCGCCCGATAAGTGATGGGCAGTCCTGCTGAATCATCTTATAATCATCTAGAGATGAGAACAATGTGCACTACGCAAATGGCGTGACATTTTCAGGTGGAAATTTCATTTAGAATGTCTGAAATTATTAGGGAATGAGACATGTACATTTCAGAGAAGGCTTGAAATTTCAGCTGCACAGGAACTGCTTGACATATTTAAGGTATTTCACATTCTATAAATCCCAATGGAACATTGGGGATTCAAGGCGCCTGTGGAACGCGCAGGGAGGAGACCATCTGGTCCAGGTCGATTATCGTCGATAAAGTTGATCTTGCAGAAGGAAAACAACTGGATGCGATAAGGCACGGATTGCATAACGCAGGAGACACGCAGACTTTTCTTTCGCTTCCCCTTTGATGTTCCTGCATAGAGGAAAGCATGATGGTGCCTTTGTCGGGCCAAACTTGCACCGTAAATGGAAGAAGTATCCGTGAAGTTATCATGAGAGTGAGTCATCTAAATAAATAAAACAGGAACCAAATATGATCAAAAGTTAATGCTGTCTCCAAAGCAGGAAAAGGAAGAACCACACCGATCCTTTCCTAAAGCAAATGCGTTCATATATCTCCTTAAGATGGACTTCATGCAGACATAAGCTATACATAATGAATGCAGTAAAAAAAGAATGTCCTTCGAGCCGGATTTGAACCAGCGACCTATGGATATCTGTGCTTTTCCCCTACAGTCCACCGCTCTACCAACTGAGCTATCGAAGGACCTGTCGTAAAGGTGACTCAGCGAGTGAAGCTGACGTGATTGCAGGCGTATGACGTAATCCCCTTGCATCGGCGCAGTCGTGTCTAGGCTTCAATCAGTTCGCAGCTGCAGGGGAGAATCGCACGAGGTTGCGCCACTTAGCTCAGGGGTTTGCACGCGTGAAGAGAAGAGGAAGCGAGGAAGGAATAAGATTCGCCGTGGGATTCGTTGTAGGACTTGCTCTGGGATTCGCCGTGGGATTCGTTGTAGGACTTGCTCTGGGATTCGCGATGGATGACGTTTCCGAGATCGTGCTATGCGTCATCTCTAAGGATGGGAAAGCCATGGTGCGATCACTGAGAATTGGTGAGCAGGGAAAGACGAACCTCCATGCGGCTTGTGGGCTTGGATGTTTTCACCTTCGGCCGAAAGGGGAGGAACGGTTTCTGGCAGTCATGGACTCATTGGATGTTAAAAATCCTCACGCACATCTGAAGGACGTATTCTTAAAATTGGAAGATACCGACGCCTCGATATGGATGGGAAAGGGCGCTCAGAAAGGTCACCGATAATAAATGTACCAACAGATTAGCCGCCCGATAATTGATCAACAGTCCTGCTGAATCATCTTATAATCGTCTAGAGATGAGAATAATGTGCACTACGCAAATGGCGTGACATTTTCAGGTGGAAATTTCATTAAGAATGTCTGAAATTAAGGAATGAGACATGTGAATTTCCGAGAAGGCTTGAAACTTCAGCTGCTTGACATATTTAAGGTATTTCACATTTTAGTTATTAAAAATTAATTAAATCCTATACATTTCCAAAAAGCATTTCCAATATCCTGCCTATACCTCTCTGGGGAATCCCTGCCCCTCAGTTCAACGACCGAACCGAATCGAAGATGCTTTTTCCTCCCCCAGCGGATCGAATACGCTCCTTCCTCCCCCAGGAATGAAAGATTCGCGGGAGCAGTGACGAGCTCAGAGAGCGGCGTGTTTATTCCACCCTAGAGATTGATTTCCGTGCGAAATGCTAAGAAACGCAGGCTGTTCAACTCCGCACTGAGGATCAGAATAGAATCAGAATCTGAGAGGCAAAGGCCTCTCAGATTCTTCACGATTGTGGAATAACTCAATCGTGGGCTCATGGTCTTAGGCCTAACCTACCTCTCAACGTTAAGATTCGTATCGTCGCCCAAGCATTACCCCGAAAGGCATGGTTACAGGACGAAACGACCTCGGCTTTGAACTGAAAGGTCGCAGGCACCCAGCCACGACACGGGCTTTCCATTTCAATCAGGAAAGGTTGGGAAGAATCCAAGAATCGAAACGGATGGAGAAGCCGAGAGCAGCCGCCATCTTTCATCCATTCGTCAATATCTCATACTTCACATCTTATATTTCGCTGCGGCTTCACTTAGAATACCATCACTGGTATTTGCTGACATACCAGGCCTCAATCGACATCAGGTACGTTCGCGGTCCTAAGTCGGCTGACCCAATGACGTCATTCTTGCCAGCCCCCTTCCTCACCCCTCCAAGCCATTGTTTCTTGGCTGACTTGTAAGGGCATCGACGGACCGCTTGGCTCCCCAGTCGCAGGGATCACAGAGCAACAGGCATGATGTCACCGTGTCGTAACATTTATAGGAGATTGCTAGTACAGTACTGTGAATGACTGCTATGTCGAAAGTGACGCCCTCATATAAAATATGATATAACGAGTATTCACCAAAAGTATTCCCGATTGAAATCATGAACATACGACTCATACCATACGACTCCTAACGTCCATCCCGTGAATCCCGATCGCCAATTTTCCCGAATAACTTCGCAGGAATGGCAGGCCGAATAACGGCCCGGGTCGTGATCGCATTCGGGGGTGTCTGGCATGGGTCCATCGCACATGCTGCGAGCAACTGCCCCGAGTCTGGCAGCCCCGACTTTCCAGCAATCGATTGCGTTTCGCCGAGATCGTTTTGGGGGGAAGGGGATGGTTATTGGTTCTAACCGTTAGCGGTTCTAACTTCCAGTGGGCCAAAATTTTGCAGGCCAGAATTCATGACTTTGCGCTGGAAAGTGAAGGAAATATCAGCGACTGAGATTAACGGGGGTGTGCCTAAGGGCCACCAGTAGACTGCGCCCTCGATTCGTCTGCGTTCTTAAGTAGGCCAAAGAAACACTCTAAAAAAAAATTTAATGTTTCGCCCTCAACTTCTTTTGTCTGGCGGTATTTCTGGAGGAGCAAGAAGATGGACTGGAACTGTACAGTGAATTGCCTCAACACTATATCTTCGTTGAAGAATGAGCCGGAGAAGTGTGGAAAAAAAACCGACGGTCGTCCTCGTTCACAGGCCACTCGTTCTACATACCAAACACGCCATCCGAGGACTCGCAGAAGCAACAGGCTTCGCAACAAAAAAAATTTGAGTCAGCATGTGCGATGTCCCCGAGAGCAAATGGCTTGCACCGATTACATGAAAGGCGATGCGTTCTCTCCAGCTCTTCGTGTATGAATGGGTTGAGTTGAGGTCGCTTGTGTATTTACAGTATACAAATATGACAGATTTTCTGTAATATTCGTATATTTTGGTCTTCGTGGTATTGCTACAGCAGTCGGTCGATGGGGAGAGGTCCGGAATCAGAAGGAAACTATCATGATTTTTGCAAAAGTGCACCCGAGTTCTTTAAATTTTTCATTTGCCTCGCATTTTTTTTATATTCTGAAGAACGGGCGCGAAATTGTCGCCCAATTCTTTCGAAATTCAAGAGGTTCATTTTTACGACAAAACTTCTCACATTGAGCATTGTCAGAAAATATTCGGAATTCGCCCAGTTTCATTTTACTCTATCGTGGCATGGCATCATGGCTGGCATCACAGCTACGTTACAAAACTTGAAAAAGACGAAAAAAAGATGTCCTTCGAGCCGGATTTGAACCAGCGACCTATGGATATCTGCATTCAATCCCCTACAGTCCACCGCTCTACCAACTGAGCTATCGAAGGACCCGTTATGTAGTTGCTTTCCACCGAGTATCTGTAATGAGGAAAGTGAAGGGAAAGTAATCTGCCGCGACGGCCCATGCGCACTGGGTCCACCGATGGAAGGAACTGGTCCGGCCACTTTCCAATCCGTGCCCTCGGGGGCCGCGTCGGTCCAGTCCGAAGGGGGAGCCGATGCTCGCCGTCGACGGCGGTCTTGCTTGCGGTTTGCTCGTTTCACATTTTCTGCATCAGGTTTCTGTATTTTGGAATTTACTTGCGTTCAAGCCGGATCGATGCGAACTTTCACCATTTATGGATAGGTATCGACTACGCGAAAGGTTTTATCGAGGGAAGCACAATGCACGTGAAATGAATATTTAATTAAAAGAACGCACATGCATTTATATTATTAACATTTACATATGTTCCTCGTGTCCCCGTGTGCTTCAGATGACCGTCCAGTAGGATCGGGGATAGTGTTCGGCATCCCATTGAAGAGGTGCTTGGAGAACGACCGCCGGAAGCGCATCGCCGCCGCCAGCCCCTTCCGGGAGTCCAACGAGTCCCGCTGCAGCAAGCTCTCCGAGGTGAGCGTCCTTCCGGGGGATGACCCTCGAAGGTGACCCTCCTTCCGGGGGATGACCCTCGAGGATGACCCTCCTCGAGGGTTATCAACACGTGCCCCGTTGAGTCACCGGGGAGCGCTCCATCCTCTCGTCGGAGATAGCTCTCTCGCGCAAGCCAGAATCCTGCCAACAAAAATTTTTTTGCCCTCTTTCAGCCCCAATTCTCATTCTTTTTTGCCCTACCTCGCTCGGTTTGACCCCGACCGTTTTAGACGACGACGCCATTCTGGTTGATTCGCCCATTTGGGTTAGAAATGTCAAGGACTCTTTCGCCGTCAACCCGACCTCAATTTTTCTTTCCTCGCTTGTTGGAACAGGTGAAACGCGGCAGGAAAAGAATAAAATCGGGAACTATGTCGTCACGAGTAAATTTCTAATATATTTTTTCCATCTGGCATGTTTTAGTGAAAAATACTCCCGAAGAATCTTATGGAAATTGATGATCTTATGAAAATTAATGTTCTTTTGAAAATTAATGGTCTTATGAAAATTAATGTTCTTCAAAAAAAAATATGGTACGTTTGTATAATATGGAATTTGCGTAAAGAAAAAGTCAGAGGGCTTGCTCAGCAGAATATGTATGGTCTGGCGATTGGAAGGAATGCCGTTGTCTGGGTGGTACAATGGGGAAACGGAAAAAAAAGAGGCCGTGGAAGATATTTAGGAGAGGATCATTTGGGAGAAGAGATGCGGCTATTTTTAGCACTTCACTCGCGGAGTGCGTGACGTCACAACTCACACAACATCGGATCCCTCTGACGTATAACATTAGCCTGCCCATGTGACCGGAGTTGCCGAATTTTTTGTTCATCGGATCCTCTTGAATTACGTCGCGAATGGAGAGGTCGCAGCGGCTCGGAGCCCTCTCGGAGTCCCGCCGGGGGCGAGCGGAGCGCGCTCATAGCAAAAACCTGCGGAGTCAGCATCCTTTCCGTGATTTCGTGGATGCCGAGCTCTGGGGCTTCGAATTCGATTCGGGAGGAGGAGAGAAGGAGCCGAGAGTATTTCTCGGACTGGGATTTACCTCGAAAGAAAGTAGTCGCGGCCGTTATCCTTTGCCGCTTCGCTAGAGACATCTATTGGAGGATTAGTGCATTAACGCTGTAAATCGATAAAAAAAAAAAAAAAAGGATAAGAAGAAGGACTTGCTTATTGTGTACTTCTTGTGCCCCACGTCCTGAGAGCGATTTCATGACGATGAATAATCGACTATAGATCTATTATTCGTAAGAAAAGGCAAAAGAAAATATAATTATCTTCCCTCATTTTTATCTGTCGAGTAGAGCGACGCCGGAAGCTACGAAGAAGGAGGGGGCTCGGAATCACAGGATGGAGGACCCGAGGTCCCCCTACTTGTATCGGTGTGCCTGAAGCACCTCGAAGCCAACGGCCTTCACACCCTCGGGATCTTCAGGGTCAGCTCCTCCAGGAAGCGAGTCCGACAGGTACGTTCCTCCCCCCCCCCCATCCTCCACCTCCTTCATCCCCGCATTTGATCCCGTTTTGTCTCTCGATCCAGCTGAGGGAGGACTTCGACGGCGGGGCGGAGGTGGCCTTGGACGAGACCCAGTGCCCGCACGACGTGGCGACGCTCCTCAAGGAGTTCCTTCGGGATCTGCCCGAGCCCTTGCTCACTAAGGACCTCTACAAGCCTTTCATCGCCACTCAAAGTCAGTACATGGCGAATTCTTTTGTCGCACTTCCTCGTTTCGGGGGTTCCCCGTTTGACCCCGCAAGCTTGGCAACCGTTGCCGAATGTCCTCGAAGACATTCGGCATTTGCGCTTAGCTCGACCGAAAAGGAATTTCAAGCGAGGGAAACAATGGGTCATTTCAAGGGATAGATCGCACAGAGACACGACGGGGAGCATGTTCTCAGGGCAGTGATGAGTAACAATCGCGCGGGTCGATCGCTTCGATTCACGCTTTCATTTGCATTCCCGATCTCATGGATGGTTCTTTGTTTATCCTCCTCTCTTTTTCAAAAGTATGAAGCTTCTCTTGCAGTCGTCCGTTTGACTCAATCTGTTACGTCGGCTCGAAGCATTCGTCAACATTAGCAATACCGTTGCTACGAACTTCACCAAGTCATTACCACCTCTCACATACCTTGCAAACTTAATATCCATCCGGTTTCAGAAAAACTCCAACCCCCCCCCCCCCCTAAAATAAAAATATTTTTTTGTTGTTGTTGTTAAAGCCTGATTCGCTACCGGACTGGTGAAGGCAAATGAACGGTTTACTTCCAAGAAGGTAAAGAATCCATGCCTCCAAGGCTCCATCGAGTGAAACTACTGTAAGCTCCCGTGAAACACTTAAAACCAGGAATGACACAATGCTTCTCGGCTGGATCCGCTCCGCCGCCGAAGAGCGCCGGGATTCGCCCAGGATTAGCGGGATTTAGGATTTAGAAGGGTTTGTCTGCTCGATCCGATCCGTGCTGTTCGTAACGTCACTAAAGGGGAAACGGAAAATTTAGGGTAAATGTTAAATGCAACTCGAAAGGAATGTCCTTGTGATTTAAGGGGTAAAATTCCTGTTCTTGGCCGACTTTTCACCGAGAAAATGGATTATTAATATTTAAAATTTGATTTTAAAATAAAAAGCAAGAAAATTCATTCTCTGCCCTCTTGCAAGCATGAATTGCCCCACAGAATTAGGTGAAGTATGCCTCTTCCGTCGGGATCTCAATTCACCTATTTTTGCAGAACTTAATCGGTTTAGTGAGCTCCATGGAAAGAGATTTCCATCCCGCGCATAAAAAAATTCGCAGGTTTTCGAAGCGCATCGGGGTTTCTCTCATCTCAGTTTCATCTCAGGTTCGCTTTCGGGACGAATACGCGCTCTGCGTCTTTTCGCCCTGGCTAATGGAAAAGTCATTCTCCGGATGCGATGGCCGTCGTTTTCTCTCTGGAATTGTGCCGGCTTTCCCTCTGTGGTTCTTTCCAGCTTGTAAGACGCTCGTGAGTCATGGATTACGTCAGTCGATCTTGAGACCGTAAAATCCCGAAATTTCCCGAAGTTCAACTGCTGACATGCTGACAGAATGAGGTTGAAAAAAAAAGACTGCAAGAGGCTTCATTTAGCTTCACGACCGGGGAAGCTAAATGCGGTCGGAAAGATGGATTTGCGTGCAACCGAAGTCCATGAACGAAGGCCTTGCCGAAACGGGTCGCAGATCCCTCGTCCCCCTCACCCATCGGAAAGGAATCGCTGAATTGGACCACGCAGAGGATTTTCCGTGATTCTCATTGATTATCGATTCGGCTAGCAATATATACATTATCTGCACTTCCCCCCCCCCCCCCCCCCCCCCCCCCCCCCCCCCCCCCCCCACCGCGTCGACCGCGCGGGCTGGGCGGTGCAGCCGCGGACGCGAGACGGAGACGGATCGGCTCTGTGGCGTTTATTTGCTCTGCGATGAGCGTTGCCAGTCCCTCGTCCATTTGCGCTTTTGTTTTTTTCGGGGCCGGTTTTTCGTTTCGGGGCGGAGGGTCGGTCCGTCCTGTTGGGTCAACGGTGTCTTTTGGAGCATCGGTTGTTGTCGTTGATTCCAGGGATCTCTCCGAGCAAAAGCTCGGTTGTCTTAATGCGGATGGATTTGATATTATTATTTAATATTTATTTCACAGGAATAGCTACAGGATTGTGCTCGTTCAATTTTTACTGCTCCAACTAAGAAAACTCTCGAAATGACTGACTTTTTGCTGCTCGGCAATCTCGGCAGACAGCAAACATCTTGACCGTTCTCATTTCCGTGTCCATTAACAGAGCTGAACCATCGATCGGACCAGGTGAAGGCCATGAGGCTCCTGGTGAGCCTGTTGCCCCCGTCGAACCGAGACACCCTCTGGGTCCTCCTCAACTTCCTCGCGAACGTCGCCGCCAACGCCGAGGACCACCGCACCCGAACAGGTTTCGCCCTTTTTCGCCCTCTAATTTCGTCCCTTTTTCCTCCTTATTCACGGGAACGTCCCTCTAATCAGGGGACTGGGTGACGGGGAACAAGATGGACTCGAACAACCTGGCGACGGTGATGACCCCGAACATCCTCCCGACCCCGGAGTCCCTGGCCAAGAAGGGTCAGCCCTTGACCTCGGTCTCCGGGGCCATGAACGCGGCCGAGCGATGCGACGCCATCAACACCGTCAACCAGATGATCCAGCTCAACAAGGAACTCTTCGTCGTACGTCCTCGCGTGCAGCACAGACTGGTGCACGAAGGCCCCCGGGAATGCGGGATTTACGAGTTTCGTGTGACTGTTGGACTGAAGAAGCTGCAGGCCGGGGAGAAAACGCTCGTATCGCTTGTCATTTCGCGCAGAGACGAATGTTTCAGGGATCATTGCACTGACGTCATTGACGAAACAAATCCCCAACCTGAGTTGCAACATTGCTGAGGGACGACTTTCGATCGTAATATACAGTGTTCCAAAAGCATTCGCCTTGCAACGAAGTTTAATTTATTGGAACTCGATGTAATAGTAACTTTTCCAACAAATTTGCATTTGCCTAATAAATCTCGTGAGTAGCGGGGATTTATTTGCGTGCGGCCACGAATAACATTTATTTTTCCCTTTCTCCATTTCAGGAAGTAAAAAAAAATTAAAAAAATTTTGATTTAAAAAAAAATTATTTTAAATCAAATTTTTGTTTCAGTTCAGACTTTGTTTTTGGGCCACCCTGTGTGTCGACGCTCTCGGTCGATGGGTAGGGACTATTTGCATTGACGACTATCGGGCTTCCCGGAAACCTCAGTTCGGCTTCGTTTGCACGCATAAATGCATCGACAGTTCGATGGGTTCCACAGGAATGCTTGGAAGACCGAAGTCGACCAAGCTTTTCACTCGCGTTCTCGTACATTAGCTGATATAGTCTCTCGAGGCCAGTCAGGGCATCAACCCTCAAGTTTCATCATGAAGTAAACACATGCTACGTGTACAGCGTCACCTTAGCATTTACCCTCCCAGCTCAATGATTGAATAGTTTTCGTTGTCACTTTGGTGATGGGTCATACCGAAAGCAATTCTAGCCCAGATCGAAGATCTGTCGGCTCCGTGTCTGTGATTCCTTCAACTGAGATACATTCGTGTCGAGCGAAACTCAATGAGACTGATGAAATGACCCCCCCCCGACTCGGCGAAAACCAACGGGCCTTCGTGTCCCAGTTTCGGGCAATATCCAGTATTTCTTAAGGAACCTTTCGATATTGGAAACGTGAAAATTTCTTCACCAGGTACCCACCAGTCTCTTGGACCAAGTGTGCCTACGACTTCTGGAGAAGGAGCCGGCCGCCTTGGAATACATCATGCGGAAGAAAGCCGGCATTCTCGACGAGTGCGTCTGCTCTTCCTTCTCCGCATGATTTTTTTTCTCGTCTCGAAGCATTCGGAAACGCGGCTGAACGGCATGAACGGTTCTTTCAGGATCGAGATCGACCTGGACACAAGCAGCAGCCAGATGGAAGCGTCGGGAGAACTTGTTGCGTATCATCGGCTAGCCGAACTGGATCTCAACAGGTCAGTTAGGAAAGTGAGATGAGGAAAGGACAGTTGACAGATATTGGAATGCTCACGGGACCGGCAATCTTTATTCTATAATTCGGAGTGTTCCAATAACCGAAACTATCTGCTGAATCGTACTTTAAATCGGGACTGTGTAATGGTATTCCATAAAGCGGAGTATTCTATTATGCGGTATTCCATTATGCGAAGTCGACTGTATATCTATTGTGAGGGACTATGAAGGGAGTCACCGCCATATGACGCCATCAGAAGACAAAATATTAGATTCGTTTGTGGGTTGTTTTCGATACTGGGTGGTTGTGAATTTTCCGGTGCCCCGAGTGAGGAATCGGTTGCTTTAATCTTCAGGACATCAAGCTCGGGTGACGTGGACGGAAGACGCTACATGAAGCGAGAGGAGATCTTACACGAGGGAGCTGGGACGGGAGGACGAAGAGTGAGTCGAAGCAGCGAAGACACGAGCACCACCAGTACCTCCGGCTGGTTCCGAAAGAGGGAGAAGAGTTCCTCCAGGGAGCTGGGACCCGAATGCGACCAGAACCCGCAGCAGTCCAAGGGGAATTGGTTCAGGCGGGGGCATCGGAGACGGGAGAGGGAGAGGAGCAAGACCCAAGGCGACATCCAGTTCGCCTTCCCCGGTCCAGACAGCGATCTCAAGAACGGAGAGCCGACCAAGTCCCCGTCGGAGGGCGAGATCTACGACCCACATTCCCAAGTGAGGCCGCTGTTGTTGGGCTGGGAGCTGGAGCGGGAACGGGACCTCAGGCTGGCGGTGCCGGAACAAGACATTTCGAGGAGGATGAGCAGTCCCGACGGCGGGACGAGCGCTGCCATCATCACGGCAAGTCTTCGCATTCCGGTCCCTCTCTCCCGCCAACATGCGTCCGCCTACACTCTCGAAGACCACGACATCCCGTTTATCGAAGACGAAGTTCGCGTCGGTTCCCTCAAGGACGTGCCGGTGTTCACGCCTCTGCAGAAGAGCGCGAGTGCCATCGCGCCGCAGATGCAAAGCCGGGACTCGGCCTTCAGCACAGGATCCTCCGACAGTGCCATCAGGGGCGCCAGTTCGGAGGTGAGCACCCCATCGTCTCCAGAAGCACCCATGCGAAGGGACTCGTTGTCCAAGAGTGCCACCTTGGGATCCTTCGTGGTTTCGGTGAAACCGGGAGGCATCGAGGTGACGCCGACGCCTCGCAAGGGACAAGAGCGACGGACGAGCGCCAGCGCCGACAACACCCCGGCGAAGTCGAGCAGGTCTCGATCGTCTCGCCGCGACTCTGCAGGGCGTGGACGGCGACCCAGTGCCGATGGGTCCTCGTCCAGCACCGGAAGTACTGCCAGTGCCTCCGGGAAGTGGAAGCGCTGGGAGATCATCGCCTCGGATCCCAAGAGTCGGAAGTCTCACGCCTGAAGAAGGAAAGCACAGCCACCTCAAACATTCCTATCCTCACATTGTCTTGTGGTTTACTTGTGTTGAAGTCTAGGAGAGCCTTTTCAAACAAAAAAAAAAAGAAAAAAGAAAAAGAAAACAACCAACATCAGATATCACAGCAGCAATAATGAAATCATACTTGCATTGGTAAGCATAGAGTCAAACAGATCCAACTCTAGTCTCGTGCCTAGTCACCAAAATCTAAAATATCAGGGTTCTTCAAGTGCCTTCATGACCCTCATCCAAATAAATGCTTTGTGTTTCTTTTTTACCATGGTGAATCCCTCACTATTGTGAAGAAAAACGCTGATATATTCATGTTGGGAAAACTAGTGCTTCATTTCAACAAGGATGACATTGTACTCAGAAGACAATGGCAGTGCCTGGAAGATCAGAAAACCCAAGCATGTTTTTTCATGGGAGGGGAGGGATATAATGACCAGGAGACACTCTCAAGGTCTGCCAGCGATGTGGCAGAGGCTCATGCATTCTGTTTGTTTGGGAGAAATAGAAGTCTCATATCAATTCAAATCATCTTGTGGGCTAATATCATTCAAAAGACAAAGGACAGTAACTATTTTGACCTTTTCTTAGAGGGAAAAAAAACTGCATGAACTGGCCTACCAGAATTGACTACACCTTACAATACTTCATAGCATTTAAACAATGCTCATTTAACCAATTCAATATCAAGCTCTGGCAAGTAAATTGACATTGTTGAAGAGTGACAGCTCACACCTCACAACTGCCCTCCAACTAAAGACACCGGAACACATCAGGACAGACAAAACCCCACAAGAGAACGCCCATATCTGCAGAAGATGCAAACTGGAGGCAAGGAGAGTGCTTGCGTCACACGACAGCCTTGAAATGCATCACAGATGACGTGATTCTTTGTATTTAAAAAAATTGAAACTAAGCCTTCACACAGAGGCATCAATTGATCTTGGGAGTGATTCTCCAAATGCCTGCCTTGTATCGAAACCAGATCACCATGAGATCTTTGCCCATCTGCACCCAACTCCATACTGGAATCACCTTGGAACCTGCAAAGGCAGAATGCAAAAATATTCAGCTAGGTATCAGAAACACAGACCAAGGATTGATGGCTCCTCTCAATCTCACCTTCAATTTCTGTCCACGTCACAGCCACTTCCTCCATCCGCATGTTGAAGTAGTATGCAATTTTCAGAAGCTCAACATCAAATGCCCTTCAAAAAAAGCAAAATTTAATTTCCTTTATAGAAATCACAAGGAAATACAATTGCAAAATACATCCTTCCCTTAACTTTGACCTATGCATCTTGGACTAATTGCAGGATGATACAATAATGAAGGTATATAGGGTGGGGCAAAAGTTACTATACAGTTCTTGTATACTGAAAACAGCTGTTTTGCTAACTTGGTACTCTTTGTTTGAGAGGAATACTGCCAGATGAAGCTGGTCACTTTTGAAATTTGATTGCACAATCATTTTTCAGAGCTATATGTGTCTTGTTATAAACAACTGTTAATATGACATTAGAACCTAAACTATGTTCTATATTCCAACTGGGTAACAGCTGGAAAGTAGTCATCTCCAGATATGTTCCTAATTGCTATATCACTAGCTGAATGAGAAACTTTTTGTTGATTATTTTTGTCAGAGGTCCATCTACAGGAACAGCTGATTTTCAACTGTAAATTTAGCTACATTCCAGCTGTAGGATCCTCTTTATAAAATTCCAGCTGAGAAACAACAGGTACCTACTATTTTCCAGCTCTTTGACAGCTGAAAATGGTCCGAATTTACAGATTTGGTCCAGCTGGAATATTCCAATTGGGATTTTAAACTGGGATTCAACAACTGTATAGTGACTTTTGCCCCACTCTGTATGTGGTAAAGACCACTCCCTAAAACAAGTAGCATTTCATGTAGCTTTGCCTTTTGGGCAGGCAAAAAGACCTTAAATCGGTCAATGGTAGTGTAAACTGCAGCAGAGCAAAACTGACCACTTCTGGACATGAAGATTTGAGAAACAGAGTCGAGCAGCCTGGCGGGTGAAGAGCTTGAACCCACACTGGGTGTCTCGGATGCCCTTCACCCCAAAAAGACGCACCAGAAGATGAAAGCCCAGCATGAGGAGAGTTCGTATGTAGGATCTCTTGGCGATGGACTCAGATTCCATGTGAGCACGAGATCCCACAATCACGGCAGGGCGTTCCCAGTTTATGTCATTCGAGGCTTGCTCACCTTCTTTGTTCTTCTTCTGCTCTGTTGCTCCCGTTGAGGAATTCCCCATCTCTTCTTCCACTGGGACCACTGCAAGATTGGACAATAGCATTTCTCAACCTGCAAACTGGTTTCTACAAGCACAGGTATACAGAGAATCAAGTTTCAATTTTTCTTTAAGCTATAAATAAATATTACACAGGAGTTATTTCTTACATTTGTGCAATATGAACCAACATCCTATAGAGCTGAACTGTGAAGATGAGGTAATTTGCAACTAAGGGGTTGTGGAATCACAACAATTACTGCAATGCATTGAAACAGATGTCAGGGCATCCAGTGGTAGAGGGGGCTATAACTCACGTGATATCAATTTTTTTGCCGAAGCCTCCAGTTTCTCGATATCCTTGAAGAGAGTGGCACCATCTGCATCAGCAAACAGAAGGAACTTCCCTCGACTGCTCATCATTCCCTGAAGACGAGAGGAATGAGTCAGTTGTACAAAGTCAGTTGTCAAAGGCTGTGGCTATTCCCAAGAGCCTGTAAATGAAGTATACCCCTCATCATATCCAATACACTCCACTGGAGACAGTGACCAACCCAAAGGATAAGTTTAAATGTAAAGTGGAGTTCAACATGGTCTGGATGACCTGGAGGAACAGTGCTTGAGTGTATCCTCAACTCCACACCAGCAGGAGCTCTTGTCCATTCTCAATGTCTAACTTCTTTTAAATGATTGCTGATAGAAATGGTTCAGTTCAACAAATTCAAATGAAATTTTGAGAACCACTTGGAAATATAGTCATCCATGCATAGTGAGTTTCATGAGTTTCATGCATAGTGAGCTCCATTGTGAGCAGAGATGTCAAGGTTAAAAGTCGTTGGTTTTTTTTTTGCCATACCCCATATAATATAATTTTTATGCCTGAAAGGGAAACTTGATCACCCAAAAAACTTCCATTCAAATGAAGCCCATTGCTTCATAGAATTCAGCAGTATAATTTATAGTGTATGGAAGTACAACTATGAAGAGATGTTGCAATTTAAATGACAAGATGGTGCTATCATTTGCCCCAGGAGAAAACTTCCATTTAATTTCTCAGCACAGAGCAGTCTACTCTCAAAGGAGAACTCTTGGCAAGGTAGATACCCTGCATGAGTGAGGCATCACATGTACTGTCTACAGGCAATTCATTTTCCTTCCTTGAAAGGTTTCTGCAAACTGCACACAATGGGAATGAGAAGGGGGAATAGGATATTGAAAGTACTTTGGTATGGAATTTGTTATTCCTTGGAGCAGAGAATGCAGATTGAGAAGAATAATGAGTCAAGATTCTTTCCAATCTGGCTAGCTAGCAGTAAGAACAGACAGATTTCTCCTGTGAGCTCATGGATTTCTCAGATACAATTGTAACTGCAGTGAGACATGGACCACCTTGTGACACAAGGCAAGATTAGGATGCAAGCCTCAATGTCTTCATTTGGATGAACTGCTCAAAGGCGACCATGCAATAAACACTTACAATGAAAGGGAAGCCAAAAGTCATACCAAATCTATTGGTCATTTTCATACTCTCCAATTGCCAGGTGCAAAAAGACCAGGAAAAGCCTCCCAGCAAGAGGGATGGATACAACCATCTGCTTGAATCATGAACCAATAGAGCCATCAGCAACATACACTCATGATGGATGCTTACCCTCCTGCTATGTCAAAGCAGTGCTTGTGAATTGGATCAAGTGGCCCTTTCACATGAATATTCAGTTTTGGCAATTTTGTTTCTGGACTTAATTCTATACTGTACAGGAGCTTGCAAGGAGAAAAAGAGGTCACCAATAACCCTCATGTTCATCTCCCTCCAAATCTAACTTCTCAGGGCAAGCCCCACTTCCAATCAGGCTCCTCAAAGAATCTCTTCAGATAGAAAAGAGTGTCATGTCACATGAGTGTCTTGCAGCTGGTCTAGCAAGTTGCACTAATGCACAGAAAAACTGCAATAGGATATATTATTTATCCTTGAGGTAATTTATGAGAAACCTACTCCATTAGTTATCATTCCTGTCAAGAAGATATACTGATTGTATTTGAAGAACTGGGCCAAATTACACTAAAAAACCATCTGAAATATGAAAATCTTATTGTATATGTAACTCTCAACAAACAAAAAAAAAACAAACCACCAAGTTCAAGTATGCAAAAAGCATCATCTTAACTAAGGTTAGGACAATAACTAAGTAGTTTTGACACAAGTCACAGGGTAAAACATGGAGGAATTAAGGGCTCACCCCCCACCAAACATTAACCAATTACCTACAAGTGCCCAAGATTGGGATGTTTGAAAATTGCAGAAGTTTTTGCTTAAAAATAGCAAACAGCTTGGTTTTCAAATGAGCTGAGATGCTCTATAGCTGAGTACATTTAAAAAACTGATCAACCAACCTTAACCTTATATAGTAACCTCCCCCAGTCCTCCACACTTAAATGGCTTCAAGTTTTATGGAGAGACAAATGTGGTGTTCTTCATTGCTGCTGCTGGTATTGAAGTGCCCTAGAAGGGGTAACTGAACTTAAAATATGCTCAAAGTAGAGAAAAAACAAAATCAAGCACACAGGGACCTAAACCAGGCTAGGAAGAGACTAGGGGATAGTCTCTTCCTAATTGCCCACTGCAACCCTTGCTTGGGACAGGAAGCAAAGGGAACACAATGGAATAGATCTGTTGCAATTCTTGGACATCAAGAGAAGGGCTCAGAAGAAAGGTAGGGAATGGCCTCTTCTACAACCAAAAGTCGCACAAAACATCATGAAAAAATCACGAGTCAGTTGACCTCACCAGTGTCACAGCTCCTCCTTTCCCTCGATTCTTGACCAGAGTGAGGACCCTCACTTTGTTAGTCCCCATCTTTCGGGAATACTTGAGACCCACGTCCGTCGTTCGGTCCCGGCTGCCATCGTCCACCACGATGACCTCGTACGAGAACTTGGAGTCGCCCTTCTGCCTCCCCTCCAGGTAATCCAGGCACTCGTCCAGCATCGGAGGCACTGCAAGGAGATGAAAATTTTGGCAGGGGTTATCTATTTGGTGCATTGACAGAACCTGACCCTTCCCACAGGATTATGATGAACATCATCACTCATCAGGCATGTTCTGCAGCAGGTTGTCTAAGAGGGGCAGCCATAGGGTCACCATATTTTGAACAGCCAAAAAGCAAAAAAAAAAAGAAAAACAGCAAAAAAAAACACCCATGGGACACCTTCCTCAAGGATGGAAAGCAAAGAAAGAGGACATGTCCAGGGAAAACATCCTGACATGTTATAACCCTAGGCATCCGACACTCACATCTCTTTTCCTCATTGTATGCTGGAACTATCACAGACAGTTCGACTGTGGGCGGGTCATAGTAGTTTGGGAATGCCTTGAACTCTCCCGAGTTCGGATCCAGGAAATGTAGTTCATTATCGTATCTAACGACACGAGGGAATGGTGAGCTCGTCAAATACAGCGCCAAAGACATCTGAAAAATGAAAGTAAGAATTAAAAAACTTCACACTATCTTAGCAGAGGAAAAAATGGTTCGGAGGTGCAATGCGACAAGGGAGTTACTCACACAGAAGACGGCTAAGATCAACAAGGCTCCGACATAAAACATCAACAGGTTGTAGGAGAGGCCAGTTGAAGCCAGTATCTTCTCAACGTACTGGCCCATCTCATGGCAAAACGAAAACATTAAAACCTCACAGGAACGAAGAAGGTAACAACAGTAATACAGGAACTACAACTACTCCAACGCGGCGAATCTGACACGCGGCCAGGGACGACATAGAAGCGGCCACGTTCTTTGCGTTCTGCCTGACATCTGGGGACGAGAAACTGAAATGCAACGTTTTATGGTATCAGAATAGATGGCAAGTAATGCACAGTGGAGGTTTTTTTCCCCGCCTTTAGAGTGATGTTTCACGTTCGATTAGAATTCGAATCGAAGATGTTACAGAATTGCCCGTGTGTTTTAATATGCTTAGTAATTTATGCAAGCATAGTATGTAATTTGCTAAGTAATTTATGCAGTGTATCGGAAGAGGATTTTAACTAAAATATTTGTCAGCTTCTGAATTGCTTTCATACTATGGATATCGTGTGCATTTTCTTCTTGTCTGATTTCGGAGAGTCTGGGTTCAACTTTAACCAGGCCACTCAGGTCACTTTTAATCCATGCCTTTGATTGAAAAATCAATTAGTATAAGCAAGATCCCGGCTTCGGTAAGCATATTCTTCTCTCACTTAATCGCTAAAAACATTCAAGTAAAAGCGAACGTGACGCACAAAATACAAAAGACACGAATGCCGTGAAAAATATGATGATTCAATGATAATAGTTTCAAACAAGAAACTCTGCTGAGCTTCAAAGACAGTCCTACTTTCATAACTTCAAGAAGAAAGTCGAGAGAGAAACCCGACGGTCCAAAGAACGAAAGACGTGGACCCCCATCAGACCCGAAAACGCCATCGAAGCCTCGCTCTTTCCCCGCGAAGCACAGCGACCCGCATCGCCCTCCGTCCTCCTCCCCGGCCGCGGGACGACTGCTCGCCCGAACGGGAGATCCGATCGAGGCCTTGGGTTACTCCGTCTCGACCCCGAGGAGGGTCCCCCCGGCGACGGGGCCGCACCTCCCATCGGCGGCCACGCACATGACCTCCATTTCACTCCCGCTTCGAGAGCCGGTCCGGCCGGGTTCCCCCGTCGCTCTCCCCGGACCTACATCGCGTGAAGAAAGAACGCGTGCGTTCGCTATGGGCGAAAGTGAAGAGGCTGACCCCTGATCCCCCTCGTCGCACCCCACCGTCTCTCTCCGGGAAACCTGTTCGAGTCCGTGCTCGAGATGGCGTCGTTCTTCTGGCCTGGTCTTGTTGCTTCGCTTCTTCGTGAGTTTCTCGATTCGTTTGGTCCTTTGTGCGCACGAAGCGTCGTTTAGCCGATTCCTGAGGTTTACGGGGGAAATGACGGATTTTGCCTTCGTGTCAAAGCTGCGTCTAGTTTAACGACGGGCTTCACCTCTCATCTCCGAGGAACTGTAGCTGGTAAATGGAGATCGACACGAGAAGACCGTAATCAGTCTTTCCATTATAATAGTACAGATTATAAAGGATTTTAATCCCTCGAATCCAGTCCTGCATTTGCGTTCTGCGGCCAGCCATCTTTTTCTTTACGAACATTTCCGAATACAAAGCGAAAATAGTGTATTCATGTGTTACTACAGGCACTTTTCGAAGTCTACCAGACAATGTGAAACGAACTGGGTCCGACACGTCCAACGCTCGGATTTTCCATGAATTTTTTTTGCTTCTAGTCTGGACGGAGAGAGCAACGAGCAATCGAGAGAGAAGGCAAGCGGCGGACTACTTCGAGTGCCCCAAGCCGAACGGGTTGTTCGCGGACCCGAAGACCTGCCGCCGGTTCATCAACTGCGTCGAGACTTATCCCTATCTCTCCCACTGCCCCGGGGGGCTCCACTTCGACGATATCTCCAAGAGCTGCATGTTCCAGAAAGATGCCGTCTGCGGTCCCGTTTCCACCAGTCAGTACGGTTCCGTCTCTGGAACGAGTTTTGTTTTTTTTTTCCGTCTGTGTCGCCGCGACGGCCGAGCGGAGTTAAAGAATTGCTCGATTCGATGGCCTCGGGATCGTAAGCGATTCGTTTCGGTGTTCCGGTGCCATCGTTTTCGAAATAGTAGGTCTTATTTTATCGATTGAATAGGGATCGTAGGAAGCAAACGAAGATGTTCGAGTAAAGCTTGGAGATCGAAGCCTTCCATGAGCGTAAAATCCCAAATATCCTATTATATGGGAACCATTGAAGGATTAGGGAGCGAGAGAAAGGGAGAGAGGGAGAAAAGTGTGGGTGGGTGGGTGAGCGGGTAGGAGAGAAGAAGGGAGAGAGCAAGTGAGTTAGAGAGGGGAAGGGGGGGGTTGGAGTTCTACGATCGGACGATAGGTGGAGGCACGGTGGCTGCGGAGAATTTCTTTGTAGCTTTCAACTATCGTGGCGTGTTGTGAATGGAGAGCATTGATTTTCTCTCGCTTTGCCTTTTCAAGCGCCATAGTTCCCAGTTAAACATAATGCCATGGTCCCTTTGCTTGGATAAAGGAAGGTGTGGGAGCACGGGAAACGGGAGCATCATGGGTGGGAGGAAGAGAGAATGTCGGACTAGGGTCACCGGGACGACACGAATCATAAACTTACCTGACCGGGGAGAAACGGTGATCAACCAGGCCGTTCTCCCAGGGTGAGGCTTTTTGGGAGCATCATGGGTGGGAGGAAGAGAGAATGTCGGACTAGGGTCACCGGGACGACACGAATCATAAACTTACCTGACCGGGGAGAAACGGTGATCAACCAGGCCGTTCTCCCAGGGTGAGGCTTTTCCATTGCACTTCGGTTGAGCTGACCCCTGTGACTGCCCCAAATGCGGGTAGGTCAACGGTGCAATTTTTGCCTTTGGGGAGTCTGCGTTCGCGCGGATTCCCTGACTTTCTCCCAGGGTGAGGCTTTTCCATTGCACTTCGGTTGAGCTGACCCCTGTGACTGCCCCAAATGCGGGTAGGTCAACGGTGCAATTTTTGCATTTGGGGAGTCTGCGTTCGCGCGGATTCCCTGACATTATATATGAATTCTTTCGAAAGGGGTGATACCCTGTGCGATATAATTCTTATGTCCGAAGGTGAAACGAAATGTAGGTTCGGCCGCTTACTATCCTGTATCGCAACGGGGCATACTTTTCAATACAGAATACCCCTAACGTGATACAAATCCTTTCACTCGTCGAAATCGGATCCGCAGTTTCTCGACGACATATGAATTTCCAAACGAGTCTCATATCTCAAAGTCCAGGTGCTATTCCATGCTTCATTCACTTCCCGTAAATTACTCTCCTGTGCCAGTACAAGTTTTCCACATCTGTTCACCCTTTTCTTTTGCCAGTGTCGCGTTACAATTCATAGAAGTGGCGCTTCCAACCTCTGCTGAATTCACTCATTCTGATTATTTTCCATTCGAATACACCAAAACCACGAGGGAGACGGATTTCGTTTAACTTTCCTTGCTTATTTAACTAACTTATTTAACTTATGCTTTCCGATGAGGATTGAACCGCAAGTCACACGTCTTTCGCGCTCAATCTCGATTCCGTCTCGTTCGTTTTCGTATGTAGGTTCAGCCGGCTCGAAGGAATTTCTTTTCGGAGCTTTAGAAGTCTTCGCAAGTCGCTTCTGATCCTTATCTGAAACGCCAGACTTTCTCTTTGGTTTATATAAACGTTAGGGCAGGTCGTTTTATTGCGGGATGGGGTGCGTGAAGTTTCTTCTTCGACTTTTGAGAGTCTGAACTTCGCGGAGGAATGTGGCTCCCCCCGAAGGAGGTCCACTCGCCCTCGCGCCATTGGTCCAGCGGGGCCGTGACGTCATCGGCGGTTCGGATTCCGCTTCGAGACGGCTGCCGCTTGTCATTTGCAATGGTAAGGTAAGGTAATGATAAGGTAAGCAAATTAATCGTATCGCTGTAGTGAGTCATCGGAGATAGCAGGTTTTGAAGGTAGGAAATATTTCAGTGAGAAAGGAAAAGGTTGGTGATCCCGATTAAGATCAGGAACGGGGATTTAGAAATCCGAAATTAGATAACTTGGCTTTATCGAAAGCACGAATGCAAGGAAAGGTGGATGAAATCAGTCTCCCTCACAGTTTTTATGAATTCGAAAGGTAAACTCCGGAAAATAATCAGAATGAGTGAAATCAGAAAAAAAAAATGGACATGGATCTCTGAATTGAATTGGGAAAATGAAAAGGAACGGCAGTAAACCAATGTCGAAAACCAGGCAGAGAAGTAAACGTAGCATCCAAGTGCTTAGCACCTGGATTTTGAGGCACGAGACTGATCGACCTGAAGGCACTCGTTTGGCAATTCATATGCAGCCGTTGAGAAACTGTGGATCAGATTTCGACGAGTGAAAGGATTTGTATTGTGTTCTGTATTGATAAGTGTGCCCCGTTCTGATACGGGACGTAAATACGCAGACGAAATACTTTTCGTTTCGCATTGGGACACAAGACATCCACACTCTCCATGCGTGAATTCATTTGTGACATTGTCAGGGAATCCGCGCGAACGCAGACTCCCCAAAGGCAAAAATTGCACCGTTGACCTACCCGCATTTGGGGCAGTCACAGGGGTCAGCTCAACCGAAGTGCAATGGAAAAGCCTCACCCTGGGAGAACGGCCTGGTTGATCACCGTTTCTCCCCGGTCAGGTAAGTTTATGATTCGTGTCGTCCCGGTGACCCTAGTCCGACATTCTCTCTTCCTCCCACCCATGATGCTCCCATTTCCCGTGCTCCCACACCTTCCTTATCTAAGCAAAGGGACCATAGGATTAAGGTGTAACTGGGAGCTAGCGCGCTTGAAAAGGCAAAGCGAGAGAAAATCAATGCTCTCCATTCACAACTCGCCACGAAAGTAGAAAGCTACGAGGAGAGTATCCGCAACCACCGTGCCTCCATCTACCGCCTAATCGTGGAACTCCCCCCCTCCTCCTCTCTCGCATCTCCCCCTTCTCTCTCCTCAGTCGCTCTTGCTCTACGTCGGTGCGCATGCGCTCGGGTTCGGTCACAGGAAGATCAATTCGGAAAAAGGAAGTTTAGTAATTTCATTAATTAGTCCGTGAGGCTTTCTTGGAAAGGCGCATTTTCTCCTACGATTCATCGCATCGCCAGTGTGGTGCAAGGAGAACGGATTTTGGTGGCTTCTCAGAATAATTATTTATACATATTTACTTCTTTTTTCGTCTCCTCTTTCAACTTATCGCGGAAGCCTCGAAACTGAGCCAAATCGTGTCTCTGCAGCCGAAGCTCCGTCGACGACACCAGGACTGGACGCAGCGAGGAAGTGCGAACCGAATCAGTGCACCTTGCCCTACTGCTTCTGCTCCTCTGACGGCACGAAACCGCCCAAAGACATGGACCCCAAAGACGTAAGCACGGCAACCACATAGGGAAATTAAATATGAATAAGATTAGAAATAATTTATTACGAATTTTAAAATCAACCTTGCTGGAAAATAATTAAAAATATAAAATAAAACAAAGTAAAATAAAAATCATATTCAAGTGAAACGTAAAATGTAATTTAAATTAAATTTAAAATTTAACAAATGTGTAAAAATAAAGACTCGACGAGGGTGGGATTCGAACCCACGCGGGCATAGCCCATTGGATTAGCAGTCCAACGCCTTAACCGCTCGGCCACCTCGCCATCCACCTCCTTTCCCCCTTCCGCCGTCTGCCTTTCAACTGGTTTTCGCCTTTCGTTTTCGATGCGGCTCGGGGGAGGCAGATCCCGCAGATGATCGTCGTGACGTTCGACGACGCGGTGAACCTGAACAACTACGAGAAGTACCTGAGGGTGTTCCGCGGCCGGGCGAACCCGAACGGGTGCCCCACGAGGGGCACCTTCTTCGTCACCCACGAGTACTCCAACTACCACATGATTCAGGATCTGTACGCGCAGGGGCACGAGATCGCGCTGCACACTGTCACGTGAGTGCCGGTTTCTCGGGTTTTTTTTTCGGAGACGACTTTCGCCGATACTTTCCGAATTTAAATCATTTATAATTATTTTTTCACCGGTTATTTTATAAATCCTGTTACTCTCGCCATACTTCGCCGCCTATTTTTCATCAAACTCACTCGCAATCGAAAAATCGCGAAGTACTTCGACCCCCCCCCCCCCGCCCCGCCCCGTACATCCCCTCTCCCGACATTTCAGGCACAGCACGGGACTGGAGAACGAGAACTACGAGACGTGGACGAACGAGATGATCGGGATGCGGGACATCCTCCGCCGATTCGCCAACGTCTCCGTGGAGGATCTGCTCGGGATGAGGGCGCCGTTCATCATGCCGGGGAGGAACGCGCAGTACGAGGTCGGGCAGGCCGTTCCTCACCGTTTCCCCTCGTTTTAATTAATATTATAATTTTATTTATTTGTGTTTTAATTCGTCGATAGGTGCTGCGGGACTTCAAGCTCGCCTACGACTCGAGCATCGGCGTGCCCCCGTCCCCAGTCCCCGTCTGGCCCTACACCCTGGACTATCAGATCCCGCACGAGTGCAAGGCGGGGACCTGCCCCACCAACTCCTTTCCAGGTCTCGGTTTCTCTTCCGGTTTGGGAGCTTTCTCGATCTGCAGAAAACTGTTGCAAAAAAATAATGCCTGCACGAAAGAGAGAGAATGGGCTTTCGGGCTTCCGGAGGATAGCGAAGGGCAAGAAGCAATGCATTTAGTAACTCTTATTTTTTCGTATTTAAAGTTTATCTGCCGACGGTCGCGAACGCAGCCGATAAAAAGGCAACGATCATCCGTTGCAACGCTATTCTTCCGCATTTCCCACGTCGACCTTCAGGTGACGAACGACTTCCGCGTGGAGGCATCCGGAGACGACGGAATGTCGCCCGGCTTCGGGCAGAGGTGGATGACGGACGCGCGAGACCTCCAATTTTATTACAGGGGGGGGGGGAGGTGAGTGCGTCCGAGGTCGCCGCTTTCGCGGGGATTTCGGCGGATTCATTTTGGTTGGTGGGAGGGGGCGGGGGAGGGGGCGGGGGGCGATGGTTTCTCGGAAAGGAAAAGTGCGGCGGCGTGCCGTCGATTGACCCCAGTCCCGCCCGCAGAGAGATTGCATAACGCGATGCAACGCGTCGATGTTTCACCTGGAAGCACCTGTCTCTTTTTCTCGGAAGAGACAGGGGGAGTCCTTGGCAGAGGCACATTCGCACGCGCCGTTTCTCTCTTTGCTCGGGGGCATGGACATGGGCATGGGCATGGGCATCGGGAGGGTGTCGTACTGGGGATGGTGCAGCTGTTGCCAACGATTGCATGTCGGAGGCCCGATTCGGATGGTTGCGGGTGCATCGGCCCAGCTCTACTCCATTGATTTCAGTCTGGAATGAAGGGATAAGGGTGGGCAGTTTTGCATCGTTTTTTTTCCACCATACCTAACATTTACCGTAGCTGTAACCATGTTAACTAACGGTTAGGACCATGGGCTGTTGATGTATCCATACAAGGATTTATCTGTTTCCTCTTCCATGCACGATTGAAAATTAAATCGAATCTGCAGGTTGTTTTTCGACCGAGTGCTGCTCCCTGACTCTTCTAGCGAAAACAGGTCAACGTATAAGTTGCATATATTTGAATGCAGGCATCTGGGAGCTGCCCTTGAACGCCCACTACGTTTCCGACTACGACGGGGGTCACTGCCCGTTCCTGGACCAGTGCGTACTGTTCAACCACGAGCCCAAAGACATTCTCCAATGGCTGAAGGAAGACTTCCTTCGGTACTACAACAAAAACAGGGCTCCCTACCACATGTCCTTCCACACCAACTGGTTCCAACAGCCGAAGCTGGAGGATGGGCTCGGGTTGTTTCTGGACTGGGCTCTCCAACAGTGAGTCTGGCTTTGTGGATTGCTCATAATGTCACAGCAGTCTTGCACTGTAGACTCAGAAGTGTTTAGGGGTTTCATCAGCTGCAAGGCTGATGATTAGCTCATCCCATTGAAATTAGAATGCCATGAGAGCAGGTGTGAGATTTATGCATATCATTATTGCTGATATGCTATGAAAATCATGAATCTAAATGAGAGCAAGACTTTGAGTCTACTGTGTAGGTCAAGAGATTACTGCATAGTTATGGCTAGTATGAATTATAACATTTGAACCATTTATATTTTGCACATTATCATTCACATCTAATCACTTAAAAATTTTCCAGGCCTAATGTATACATGGTGACAGCCACCCAAGCCCTATTATGGGTCACTGAGCCAGCTGATATATCTCAGATAAAAAATTTTGAGCCATGGGACTGCAAGAAGCTGCCAAAACGAGGAAAACCCTGCAACAACCCAGTCAAGTGTGGTCCACTTCTTTTCAAGACAGAAAACTACACTGGTTCCAGGTATGTCTCTCTCCAGCAGAGAAGTTCAAATGTGGCATGAATGGAGAAAGGAATCTGGGCATTTGAAACGTTCGTTCTACTTTCAGGTACATGACGACATGCTTCGAATGTCCCCGTGTTTATCCCTGGCTCACAAACTCTGCCGGATCGGAATATTCCAAGGCCGACATCTACCGACCGGAAATCATTCAGTGAACGCATCCCATCTTTATTCTCGATTACAGAGAATGGGAACTCTTTTCTATTCGTTTTCCTGAGCATTCCCTTTCATTTAAATAAGCAAGTGACTTCTTTTTCCTCTGAATTCAGTATGGCAAAGTCTTTGATGTGCATTCATGTTAAGCCTAAGCTTGCCATCTGTTGTACTTCATTGTTGACTGTTGACAAAAGAACTCCAATTTTAATCTATGGGAACAATCATTTATAAAGAATTTCTCTGCCTAATTCACACACACAGTTACTAATCACACAAGTAAGTCCAATGACAACTCAACGAGCTGGGTTCCAGGATTCGAAGATTTCCCCAAAGGTTTTCCTCTCTGAAAGATAAAAAGTACACTTGTTATCAGTAATTGCTCACTCTTCACAAAAATTCTGCTGGTATGAACAGAAATGTTAAGCCAAGAGCCTCATGTGGGCAAAACAGACAGATTCAAATTTAGAGGTTTCAGCCTCCAGTACATGGGATAAATCTCAGACAACTCAGCATTTGAGTGGGAAGTGGAACAATTTAAGTCTTTACTGCATGAATCATGAAAAACTGGGAGAAGAGCTTATGCACAATTTCTTAAAAGGTACATACATTTTTCTTCCGATAGAAGATTTTTTACAAACTGCCATAATTTCAGTGCAATTTTTGGCCTTTGCCAATAGCGGAGAAATTAAAAAAATAAACAATGAAATAAGAAAGGTCCTCATCTACCTATGATGCTGATATATTTACAAGGTGCTACCAGCTATGAAGTAGCATATATTTAAACTAATTTTTGTTAATCCTAATTGAAACATTTCAGGAATTCCCCACATGGTGATTCTTTAATCATTGCATTAAAAAATGTTGTGTACCCAATCAGGATTACAGTGCAGTTAAGGAGTAACATTCTCCCATAAATGCGAGAGGCTTATCCCTCATCAATTCCATAGCAAAGAATAGGCCAAATTTACCTGGTTTGGGGAAGCGCTCTGGATGAAGGTGCATGTAGTGAGTGTAGATTGCGTCTCTCTGAGCTGTTTGCTTGCGGTACATGTTGTCTGCATACTTCCCCACTAGAGCACCCACAGTAGCAGCCAGAATATGCAATTGGATTCCTGCAAATAATACAGTAAAGCAATCATGACTAATTTGGTCTGACATCATATGGGTACATAAACATTCACCAAGTCATTCATGTGAATCTCTCAGTTCTTCTGAAAATTCATGCATTTTAACCAAAAGCATGAAACAACTTGGAGTTTCATATTTGGCATATAACAAGCCTAGTGCATTCAAGTTTTTCAGTTAGTATAATGCTGATCATGAATAATATCAGATAGAAAAATGACAAACAAAATGATTCAAGACTATGGATTTGAGATTAGTGAACAGGAGAACAATTTAAAAAGTGCTTAACATTTTAAAATCAAAATTTATAAAGAACAGCCCAAATCATACATAACTAATGAATGATAATTCCAGAATATTTCATACAAGATGTAGATCTAGACTATATTCATAACTGAATTCCTAGGCATCTCAAATCTACATGCCTGATAAGGGATCTCAGATCTAAAAAAAAAAAATTATATCAGAGCTACAAATTTGCCAGATTTTGGTGTACTTCCATGGAATACTGAAACTGGGAATATAAGGGATGAAGGAGGAAGTTCTTTCTTATAATGGGGATAGCAGTTCTCAATTACACAGCTTTTGAAATGAAAAGGAAGAGGTAAATATTAGATTTCAAGTTTGACCATCTTCTGCTAAGAAAGTTTGAAGGAGGTACAAGTACAATGGACCGGAATCAGTCATGTGATCACATGGGGTATATCAAGGGTGACAGAAAAAACCAAGGCAGGGAATTATCACACATAGTACTTCTGCAAAAAGGAGATTACCAACTGATGTTGAACTATGACCATGGGTAAACATTTGAATAAGCTAGCAAAGCATATCCTTGCCAGGCCTACTAAAGGCTGAAAATATTTATACCACAACCCACACACTAGCATTGGCTTCTACTTCCTCTTAAAAATGGGTTGAAACCCTTCTTTAAAGCACCAAACACGAAGGAGTAAATTATGTCTAATTTTTTGGCTCCTGTCATCCATAAAATACACAGAAGTGTATACAGGGAACTTGGGATGGGAACCAATACCTCTTTAAAAAATCGATTCTCCCAACATTTGCCTCAATATAACATCCTCCACAAAGGGGCAAATTTTCTAGTGATTTCAAAGATCTATCTCCACTTTTCAAGGCAGGTTCATGCCAAGACCAATTAAGGCCAATTTTGCCCTGTCACGATTCGAGTTCCACGAAACAGGAGCACACGCAAGTTTAATCCACCGAATCTGCACCGTAGAAGGTAAAACTCAAAGTGGCAAGGGCAAAAAAAAAAACCCTCACCGGACAGCATAGGCCTCTTGATGAAGAGATTCCTCAAAACGACTCCTCCGAACCCGCCGAGGCCACACGTGACTGGGGACCAATATTCGCCGATCACACTCAGTTTGTAGCGCTTGGAAGCTTCCACGAAAGTATCGGCCATATCATCAGCATAATACGGGCTGAAAGGCCTAAAAGCCTTCCCGTCCTCGGAGTGCTCCATGTTTGTTTCTCCTTGGAGCACTGCTGCGAGCACATCGATTTCACGAGCTAAGCCTATCTCTATAGTTTATTTTAAATAAAATATACATCGTTGAAGTTTTTTTGCCCTAGGCCTCGATCCATTAATAAAAGGGAATGTGCTGTTGAAATCTCGTGATACTCAAATCGATTCCTGCAGGAACCTCCCTTTGAGCTCACATGTACGCGGTCGCTGCGATTAGGCTGGTCGGCATGATTCGTCAACGGTGCCCTTCCCGAGTGGAATTAATTTCTTCGACGCAGACCATTGCACTCCATCGTTTATTCTCGACTAACACTTACATGCAACATGCAAAGGTTTTTTTTTCCCCCTCTTATGGCCGCACCCATCGGCCCAAGCTCTTTGATAGTCTGAAAAGCCTGTTCGGCCGATTCGTGCCCCTTGGCGTCGGTAGGCATCTGCTTACGCCGAGCTTGTGCATAACACTTGTGCATGGGATACTATGTGCTCGAGTACCAATTCATATCCATTGTATATCCATCATTGTTTAATGTGCCTTTTTCGACGGAGTGGGAAGAGAAACCACATAAGTGATAAAAACTCGGCTGGATCCAAAGCAATTCACATCTTTATTCCTCAGTTAGGCAGTACATATTGAGTAATCTATAAGCACAATCAAGTTGCAGGGATTGAGAGGACAGGTAAGCATGATATGCGAGTGCCTCACCAACTAGACCAATCACCATGCAGAATGCCAAGAGGGTGAGTGCTGGCAAGAGACAAGATGTGACAGTGACAATGGGAAATGGGGGTATCCGAATGAATGCAAATCCATAAATCAAAAAGAATAATAATATAGAAAGTAAAAAATGCAAGTGTACATCATATGAACAGATATTTTCATTAAAAGCAGGCAAAAGAAGAAGACTGCCACATGACCAACAGTGAAGCTGCAAATGTTTGGTTCAATACAGGCATAATCAAACTATCATGAGTTTCAGCTGTGGAGGAGAAGTTTCCTTGTTTGCATTGTATGAACCATCACCCCATGATGAGATCCTGTGTACCATGAGGTAAGCGGCTGAGACAGGGAGCAAGCATGGAAGTATGGTCCTCTCATCCTTTCCTTGGTCCCAGTAAATATTTTTCACTGAAAGTGACTTCAGTCTTGCTTGAAGGATGTATTAACAAAGTAAGGCATGGGTTTATGTATTGACCTTGGGAATTCAAATTCATTCTCTCTGTCATGTTATCTACATGCATATGTCATGAAGTTGAAAAATAAAACTCTTTGCCTCTGAACAATGAGCTTTCATGTGTGTCTGCCTGGAGGCAAAGGAAATGCGATAAGGGTACAGTTCTAGTCATTGGGAGGAAATAATCCTGTAGGGAGTACAATGAAATTTTTGGCACGTCAGAGCCATCTGTAATTGCGATGATGTGGACATCAGCCTTCCATTCTGAAGATGCTCATGGATGCATACATGCTAGGAGGGTATAACCAGAGGTTGTGTAGATGCTCATCTTGTCCATCATGATGCTTATGTGACTTCTGCAAATAAGCACTTAATTCCAAATATCAATCTGCATATAATGCTCAATTGCAAGAAGGATAGATTCCATCCATTCTGAATGTAAACAGGAGTTGAATCCACATTGGACATGTTCAGCTTCTTGATGTCACTCATTAATCCAGACTAACAAGCTTCAATGTATAGAGTTAAGCCACAACTGCTCTTGTGAAAATTTTTTATTTTGTTGCTTAAATAATAAAAAACCAATCAGCATACATAAAAATATGTTTTCTTACCTTATCATGAAAAACTTGTCTCAGTTAAGCAAAAATACCACTGACCACTTTGACTCCTTACTTGGGTGCTGACATACATGAAAGATAAGTGTCTCTACCATCACTGACATCATTCCCATTGAAATATCCAGATCAAACTTTATTCCCATCATTTGATTTCACTGTAATGAGGAATTTGTACTCCTTGTCTTGACAACCATCATAGATCAAAAGTTGGTGTGTCACTTGGTAGCAGGCATGAGGGACTGATGAAGCTTGGAGACTGCAGTCTGAACAATTCGCTGAAACATCTCATCCTCCTCACAGGTCACTTGCTGAGATCCAAATTAAAAGTTCTTGTTTGAAGTTTCTGATAAGGACTTCTCAATTCATACATCTAATGTAGAAACAAAATAAACTCACCATTTTGAGAAGGTCAATATTGGCTTTCTTCCCATCAACACTAACATACAGCTTCTCTCCTCTGAACACCTTTGGAACTGCTTCTTCTCCAAACATCTCTTGGAGGGTTTCAATCAAGCATTCCTGAACAAAGAGGGAGTAACAAATTTGATGATAATATTGGTGAAATGATACATACTTGTCTAGATGAAGATACCCACCTTGAAGTGCATCCTATCTGGCTTGGTAATAGGAGGCAGATACTTAGGCTTGACTTCCATGGTTTCACCTTGCATGAGAACCACAGATATTGCATCTGCATACATGTCTGCAACTGGACTCGAGTTCCACTAAGAACATCATTAGATAATCTTGAGCAAACCAAGGCTAATTGCAAGCAAAGGATGAAAGAAAATAGATTTCTCACTTCTAGAGTGACGACATGATTCTCAAATGAGACGTTGACCTGATCAAAGAGTCTGAGCATTTGCTTTTTGGATGATTCTTCCACGAGCTTGCATCCTTCTCCAGCCAGATGACTCAAGAGACAATGGACAAACTGGAAGGAGCCTGAGAAGTACATTGACTGGCTCTGTGTCACCACACTGATCGTCATGTCCGTATACTCTGCCAAGATAATAAAAGAAACCATGCACAGCTACTCTCGAAAGTAGATTAATGAAATCTGCATCATTAAAGCTATCAAAGCAATTACATAAATATACTTGAATATAAAAGACTGGTTGATATATTGAGTTAACACTTTCAAATCTCTCCCAGGATCCAGTCTCTCTTGGATATTGAGTTGGTATAACCACTATCTATGATGTTAGAAAATAAAAACGGATTGGGTGTAACTTTAGTATCCAAGATACAGTATCCTTTCTGCATCATTCTTTAATGAGAATTTGGAAACCTGGTATAATGCTCACTTGTATTTGCCATTATTTAGGGTAAATTGACTGATACACCATGATATACCAGTCAATTTTTCAACAATTGATTAATTAACATTTCTCAAATCAATCAACAGCCTTTCTTAGAGTACAAGAGTGTCAATATTCATACTTGCTAGTTCTGAAGGAGCAAGAATATGGTAGTTGAAGTTTCGCTTCACCAATACACCTGACAGCACATGTCCTTCACTTGGAGGGTGAATTGCCAAACTCCCCATAACCTATATGCAAGAAAAGATATTCATGCTCTCAGCTCACTTCATTTGTTCAGAATTGATAATATTCCATGACAAGAAGTCTGAACAAATAGAAAGCTATGTGGAACATGTCTTTTTGAGATTCTGGGTCATAAAAGGATAAGCACGTAATATTCAACGCAATGGCATTTTCAGAGATCATTTCCCTTGTGTTCTAAAGGGAAGGGAATTATGGACAATTCTTAATTCCTCCATTTGCAAAGAAAACTTCAAAATGAAATTGTCCTTGGCCTTTCAAGCTGGATGCCTAAGTACCTGCAAGACCACATTATTTTTCATGAGTGATACATTGATCATTGGATCAACTACAGAAGAGCACCAGTCCTTCTGGAAAATAAAGTGCCACATGATTACTGATATTCCAATTACCAACAAGCAGCCAACAAATACTATTCACCACTCTGGAATAAAGTATTCATACTTTAGCCATTTTCTCTCCTTGAAACTGAAGTTCCACAGCCTGAGTATTGCGCGGATTGTAGACATTGATGTGGGTATTTGAATCATGCTCATATTCTCTGACAATGGCCTGCTTCAACCGGTTCATCTCATTCTGCTCTCCATGCACAAGCACCTAAGAGAAGAGATGCAAAATGATTATCTTTCCATTATCACTACTAAGAAATAATACTTGCTGGGCTATGTTAACATTTCCAAGGAAACTGCACAGACCAATTCAGGTGGTTTCATGGCTCGGATGAATTCAGAGATCTGCTTGTAGTCAGCATGTGCTGAGAATGAGATATAATCAACTGACATCTTGAGAGGCAGTTTCTGGCCACTCATTGTTGTGATCTCTTCTGGTTCATTCAGCACATGCTTTGCCAGGGTTCCCTCCACACAATAGCCTTTCAAACAAATCATGTCCTTACTTTTTAGCTTCTTGTTTGATAAGCATCAATTATTTCATGGATGTTTCACTAACCTGCAATGATGACCCCATTCTTGGGATCAGTACACCACATCTCAAAGAGTTCACGAGAGAGGCCACTCTGCATCATGCCAGGAGATGCCATGATCACACAGGGGCCAATGTCATCAAAGTGATCGATCCCCTGGCAATAAAAATGGAATGCAAACAGCTCAAAATTGAATCAATTTGAGGTTCAGGAGATGACCCACCTTGAGGTTGGAAATGTGCTTGAAGATGAAAGGGTTGGAGACAGCAATCTGTCGCTTGATCTTGTCATTCATGGCATTAATGTAAGTCTGATACACAGCCATGCACTTCTTGGCCAGGGATGAGGCATAGTAGATGGGAATATCATGGAGTTCAGGATGATTGCCCCAGTACTCATCTAACAACAACAAAAAAAAGAACATTGGAAACAGAGTTCATCCATTAAGGAGATGGAAAAAGAAGCACAGAAGCTGTTCTTACCCAAAATGAGGAGAAGTTCTTGTGCCCGACCCAGGGCGAAAACAGGGATAAGGCATCTCCCACCTCTGGTCACAATATCATGAACAAGGGTTGTGAATCGCTGCTCTCTTTCCTCTCTCTTTTCATGGATATGGGTCCCATATGTGGATTCCTAGGAAACCAGAAAACCTTTCACAAACAGGAAATAGTCATGCAATGATTCCTCTTCCATACATTATTAATTATTTTCAAGTACTGGTATTAATGCCAGTAATGCTGAATTTTCAGATAATATCCAACATATATTAACATTTTTCACTTCTCAAACCAAGAGCTTCTCATTACAGTAAAAATAAAATCCTATTTTTCAGTGAATGAGATAATCCTTTTAATTATAGTCTGCTGGAATGTTAACAGCAGTCATATGACAGCCTAATCTTACAGAAGTCATTCATCATTATAGAGAAATCTAGCCAAAAATCAATACATAGCTGCCCTAGCAACTGACATGGTCTGGGCTGCTTTCCTTTCATAATACCTTACAATCTAGCTACTTTTCCAATATGGTACAAAAGGGATGCTCAACTAAGATGACAGAGATTACTTGGTTCTGCACTAAAGTTTTATATTCTCATGGGGATGTAAGTATGAAATATATAGTACTAACTTGCAAGAATAATACATGTTTCCTGTTGAAGTTGTTATGCCTTCACTTGCATTGGGAAATTTACAGCATCCACGTATTGAAGCAAGTAGTGTTCACACTAACTTTTTTACATCATGAGTCCTGTGCCTAACTTCTGCTCAGTGGGAACATGTTTTGGTGGTTGTCAATGAATCCCGAGGACTTGGATGTTTTGCAAATATGAGTCCCTCCAAGAAAAGTCAGGGACTCGCTACAGCGAGTTAGTGTGAACCCTGAGCAAGGTATTTATAAGCAAGGTAAAAAAGACACTCACACTGATAAGGACATCAGGCTTGATGCTGGGAACCTCAGCACACATGAGATGTCGGTCCTCTTCCCTTGAAAAGTCCCCTGTGTAGAGAACCTATAAGGACATGCATTATATTAGATAATCTCCATTGCCATTTGTCAATGATCATTTGTCTTCTGAGGCAACAAACCTTGACACCAGCAATCTCAATCATGAACATAGCTGCCCCCAAGACATGACCAGCATGGTAGCACCAGAAGCGGATCCCATTCACCTCTTTCTCTTCATGGAAGTTCACTGTCTCTATCTTCTCCATGCTGGACTCTAAGTCTGCTTCTGTGTACAGCATCTGCTCTGTTGCTATGTTACTGAGAGAGAAAAGCATGAATAGATTAAACTGTTCACAAACTGTTATGACAGAGATAGGTAATATGGGTTACCTGACTTTGATGTAATCTGATATTAGCCACCTGTAGATGGCTTTGGAGGCATGGGTCATGAAACAACGACCCTTGAAAGGTGACTTCTGGAGAAACCAGGGCAGGGCACCACAGTGATCCAAGTGAAAGCTGCAGAGAAGTGTCAATACAAGAGTTGAAGAAAAGAATGAAGGTAGGCAAATAGCTTCAATGTGAACTAAGACAGAAAATTGACTCTAACTGGCTTATAAGAAGAAGGTCGATTTGATCAGCATCAATGAGATCAACAAAGGGTAAGGCATCCATTCCCAACAGTCCCGGATGAATTCCACAATCAAGCTGTGAATATATATAAATACTGTCAACTGGACTAAAACTTGCATCCTTCAAAGACAAATTTCCTTTTTAGCATTGCACAGGGCAGCACATATTAACCACAAACTCACCATGATTTTCTTGCCCTTGAACTCCAGCATAATGCATGAGCGACCCACTTCTTGCCCAGCTCCACTGAGAAAGATAGAATATCAGATGATATTGATTATTGTCAGGCAATGAAACTGGTCCTAACCTACCCATGTCTTATTTATAATGTATGCTCACTGCAACAAGCTATTCAAACAAAACTGCACGCTCATACCTATGACCTTTACACCTGCATTATTTATATGGCACGTAACATAGCTATGCATAATTTATCACTGGAGCATTGATCATGATAAACCACTCCCCCTAGCTTCATGGGCCAAATGACCTCTCTTCCTTCAAGAATTGGTCAAAAGAATGAGAGGTAGATTTAATCTAATTTCAGGAAATCATGGGTTACTTAGTCTAAGATTTCGATATTATACTACCCCCCTCTTCTCTACAGCTACAGCCACATTCAAATATAAACCAAAACATATTTGGAATCAATGCTCATTCTTAGAAATGAAACTAAATGGTTACATTTGAAAGATCTAAAAGGCTTCCATGGATTCAATTCTGTCCTGTGTTCTCTTCCTTTTACTTGATTAAGTCAGGGATAAATATCAGGAAACCATAGAAATGAATGGAGGATTTCAAGCAACAGATGGTGAAGTTGTGAAGGCTCTTAGCAAGGATTAAGGTGGAGTAGTTACAAAAAGTGACCTGGTTTCTAGGACACAAAGAAATTCAATGGGAACAGATAGAGACGTAATGATATATGAATAACAGTGTTAACCTGATATTAGAGATTCAGTACATATCTCCAATCAAATATTTTCCAATAGCTAATACCCAAATTTCATGTGAGTAGTTGATGAGTTCCCTCAATGTCAATGTGGTATGCCAGCTATGTACTGAACACTATACAAAAGCCACTGCTTTTCAGGGGTGAGTCCCTAGATGATCAAGGGATTGACTACTCTTGTGAACCCTAACCATTCACCCGCACTGAATAAGTTAATTAAATAATGGCTACAATCCAGATAACATACTTATCTTTATTGAATAATGGATTTTCTGTCTCAATAAAAAATGAAATATTGACAATAACACAAAAATAGAAATTTTTAAGTAACTGGACAAGGGATGGAAGAGGTTATATTGATACACTAAATTCCATTGTGATACTAAGGGTCTAATCTTTCTGTTGCCAGCCTCATACGTCTCAGTCAACCACCGAAACTTTAACATTTTTGAGCCATCAATTTCATGGCACTGGAATGACGGAGTAATGCAATGGGAAAAGGAATGAAGGAATACCAGCTTAATCCAAAGTAAATACAAATAATGTGAGCATTAGGGTGATTAACGTTAGACCGGATTGCACTTACAGTGGTCGAATGACAAGTTGATCACTCTCTTCAGCTGGAACCACTTCTACTTTGCGCTTGTAGGCCATCTTCAAGGCCTGATCGTCCTGATCACTCTGACTTAGGCCTACGCCTAAGTGGGCATGAAGGTAAACCTAGAAACTTTCAATTACAAAAGCATGAAGGACTCAGTGACTTATCTAGGTTAAATCAATTGCATCTGTGATGTATTCCGAGCTCTATTTAAAGTGAACACCGCTTTTTAGGAAAGGAACATACTCCTGCCTCCGGCATAAGGCTAATGCTATACCTAACAGTCCATTTTAACCGCAAATTGAAGGAAGGTTTTGATACTTGAAAACGTACACATGTAGTCCTAGAACCATCTGTGAGCGGCCATGTTTATTTACAGTGTTGCCATTGCTGTGATCGAACAACCCATGACCGTACATCGCTGCCTCTCACCTTTCTTATTCTTAAATTTAAAAAAGACTTCTCGGAGATGTCACAAATGAACTAAATAGCTTGCGCTTCTGTATGCATGACAGCTTTAAAAAAAAATTGAAGGCATCTGGAAAAAAAAAACAAAAAAAAAAACAGAACACACTGCAACTACTTAGGGCCGATTGCATGAACGATGTTTTCCCGGTGTTTTTCGAAAGTCATCGGTTAACCGTCAAACTCAAATCGGTCGGCGGGCCGCATTCCTTACCCTCCAGATGCCTGCGGGCCGCACCCATAAAATTTCACTTAAATTTGTGCTGACACTCAATCCATGCGGAACATTTCAGAAGCAGACGGCGGGCCGGATGTTTGACACCCCTGGTCTACCGATGTCTAACAGAAGCTGAAAAAGGTCTCGTTTCCAGACGAGGAATGGGGCACGTTTTACCGATATTTATGCCATCGTTCGTGTACTATCTCGTATAGCGCTGCAGTGTACTGGTGAAGCACGATGGATTTCTGTTTATGGATCCGCTCGATAACGGCGATGTGCTCTCGTCGCATGGGAGGAATAAACATAGGTTCTGGGCGTAATCCCTTTGAAGAATATGTCGAGAACTTCCGCTTGAGATACTGATCTGGAAAGGGATCAGGATATGATGTCGACCCGAAGATCGGGGAAGGGATCCCTTATCCTTAAATCGACAGATAAGAACAATTCGTTCGTGTGCAATGAATCGTGATTTGTTCAAGTACCCATCCCCTGAGTAATTAATTAATATGACTCGAAAGTAAAGAGAGTATCATGAAAGCCTTTCGATTTTATATGGCGTCGAATCCTAGAAATGGAAATGGCGCAAGCCAGTGCTCATTTGCATCACTCATTACATTCCCAGGAGGAAAAACGGAGTAGTTGTTCGAAAATAATCATTTGATCTTGTCGGATTTCCAGGAGCGATCGGTGTCATCGACGACTGTCATACTCGAATAGAATGCTCAGACAACTTTTATGAATCGCAAATACTTCTGTTTCATGGATGCCCAAAGCAGTGCGCGATGCGGAAAGGATTATTTTTTTTTTTACTGGTGTCATTACGTGACCAGGATCCATATATTCTCGAATATAATAATTTTGCGATCGTGCCCAAATGATACTCCTATATTCCACATCTCCTATTTCTCCGTGTGTCCAAAACGAATCCTTGGCTTTACTTCTGATGTACGGAAATACCGAGTAAGGTCAGAGAACTCACCAGTTTCCAGTCGTGATCATTGTTGTGCAAACACTGCGGGGATGGCTGATACGTTTTCGTATAAAAATTGGCCCTGCTTGTTTAAAAACAATAGTTTTTGCGAGATAATTTATATCGTGCTAACTATAGAAGATAGCTGTTACGTGCATAAAAAGCTGTGAAGTAACTTAGAAACAGTTAATGTTCTGAGCCCGATAACTTTCCCACGCTACCACTGCATGAGCCCGAGTATGTACTTGGGCAAACAGCCAAAGGGTTAATAGTCTGAGGAAAGGTTCATTCTTTTTCACTTGATACGCTCGCCTGTGGAGTTCCAAGTGTATCACGCGACAACCGAGGAGTCAGAGCGTGCTGTATATATTAATACCATGAGGGGTGTTTAGCCATCGTCTAACCATCGGCTATTAAAATCGGGATCGTTCACGCGATCGAAAGTAGACATTGGTTAACCGATGTTTTCGTAGACAATGTTCAAACAACGATTATCGATAATCCATGTCTAAAATAAGCATCGTTCATGCAATCGGCCCTTAGTGTCTTCTAAGGACGAAAGGCTCAAGCCACTTTCTGGTGGACTCGGCGGTATCAACGCGGTGACTCGGGCTTAAAATCAAAAGATGCTTAGAAGCGGATTCGTAATATATCTGAACTTGATTTCACTGCTGTCAGAGATTCAAGCATGAGATTCATAAAGTGGGGACTAGAACATGTCCCCCTCGCCCCAATTATAAAAGAATAAATATCAATAATAATAATAATTATTATTATTATTATTATAAACAAAACAAAGGTGAAGGATCAAATGAGTAGAGGATTTATGATGGTAGCTGTTGAAACGCAAAAGCGGAAATTCCTAATTTAATTCCTAATTTAATCCGCACCAAATTAATTGGTGCGGATGGGCTGGGCATGGGATTTTATTTCTGTTTATTCTACTTATTAATTTTTTTTGTAATCCGTAGCGCAGGCGCAGCAGCGCGTATCGTGTGTTGAGATTGCATATTATTCAACAAGTGAGACAAAAAAAGATGATGAATCAAGCGTTTAAAAAATTAGTCTGCTCTAATGAAGACTTATCGGTATCCAAAATGCCAGAGCCGATTATATCGACACTACGAACTTCGGTGGGAAAAAATGCCAGAGTCGGAGAGCTGACGATAAAAGGATCAAGAAACGTAATTTATGACTTCAGACCTATTAGTGGCAACTCCTCGACTCTGGCGTTTTTCAACGAGATTCGTAATCTTGACATAATCGGCTCTGACACCATAAGGGTTCAGCAAAAGGTCAGATTTCGCCACGGATTAAGGTACCTAATCCAGCCAATTCGTTACTTTCTTCCCTCTTCCGTTGCCGAATGATTTTTGCTAAATTAATTTATTGTTCACCTAAAACCTAGGAAATTGCACTCTGCCGAAACGGCTCATGGACTTCCCAGAGAGCCATTTCAGACTTTCCTCAGAGAGAGGAATTTCAGTAATCGGTTCGTCGATCGGGTAAACTTACTCGTATATCAGAGCCTCTTCGCAAAGCCCCCAAAAATATCTCAGCGCGACTTAGCGAGCGTCGCAGCTTCAACAAGACAATGCGGAAAAAAAAACAAGCCCAGTCCAGTTCCTCGCCTGTGCTAAACTTAAATCTAAATCTAAATCTAAAAGTAGTCTAAAAGCAAAAAGTCTATTCTCCGCCCTGACCTTTTAGACTAAGACTTAGTCTAAGATTTAGATTTAGATTTAGATTTAAGTTTAGCAGAGGCGAGGAACGGGCCCCCGTAGTGGGCCTCCTTTCGTGTAAGGAGACTCTCATTTTGTCATCTACTTGAACAAAATGCCATCTCTTTCCGGCTCTCGACCATCAAAAATCTCACTTCTCAATTAGATTAGGCAAATCTACCCATGGTGTTCATGAAATGATGAGAGGATGGAGGGCTGTGCGTGGTACGATCTATCTGCCACGAAGGCTAGTAGAAAACTGACAGCATCTGTTGGGAACACGACGCCACGTCGAAGGCCTGGGTCTTATGCGCATGCGCATTATGGACCAGATTCTAAAGGGCTTTCAGCTCGTGCCAACCCTCATTAGCAAATTTCAAATCCAAAATTCGCGATAAAAATGGCAATTTCAGCTAATTCTTCACGGAACGAACTCAGTCTGTATCTTGTTTATATCTACCTGCTTGCCAATTTTCGCATTAGTCAGGTCAATATTTTCTTAGTTATCGTCGGACAACCTAAGTGTGACACAGAGACACAAGGACGGACAGGACGGGACCATAGACGTGGTCTCGTTTCTTTCAGGAAAGAAAACTAAAAAACAAGGCTTAGCTCACCCTCGACGATTACATCAACCATCGAAGAAACCTGACTGGAACCGCCAAGGATGTTACCAAAAATGGTGCGGAAAGGCCGGGGGAAAGGGGAAAGGGGAAGGGGGGTAGGGAGGGGGGGAAGGGGAGTTCCGTCCTTCATCCCTCCCGACAGCCGAATCGGTTATCTCAGACACAATGGGGTAGGAGCAATGCATTTCACCTCCCCCTGGGCGAGGGGCATCACGCCTGGGGCCTGTTCCTCGCCTCTGCTAAACTTAAATCTAAATCTAAATTTAAAGGGGCAGGGAGAAGAATAGACTTTTTGCTTATAGACTGCTTTTAGACTGCTTTTAAATTTAATTTAGATCTAGATTTAGGTTTGGCAGAGGCGAGGAACAAGCACCTGGTGGGTGGAGCGAGTAAAGAGAGTGGAGACGAAGGCAGGGTTGATTAGGGATTTAAATACCGGTACCATCTTGCATGATTTCTTCGTCATCCCCATCGATATCTCATAAATAATATCGGTATTATTTATTTGAATTTTTAAATATCAATTGATATCTAACTGATAATATACCCTTTCCAGAAGCAAAATCCGCGAAATGCTAATTCTTGCTTAGTAATCTTTCGTGGATGATTTCATGAAATTCATGGACCTTCACATAATTATAGTTAATAATTTTTTTGCGAAAGAATCAACTCCTTTGTTAATACCGAGAGATTATTGAACTTAATTGAAGCTTAGCAACTCATTTTTCAAATAAGTTCTCATTGCGTCCCCTCAAAATGCAACCCCCATTTCAACCAATAGCAGTGACACTTTCTATTGTCTTCGTTATTACAGAGCCAACCGAACGATAGTACAGAGTCAAAGGTTAGTTTCTGGGCCATCCGACAGGTGGAAAGCATGCGCATTCCGCCCGGTAATTCTGCGATTGGGGAGCACCGACGTCGTTTCGATCTCGCTTTTCAAACACACAAGCTCACGTTGAAGTCGCTTCCCATCGGTCTCTTCGATGTGCTAGGAAGCCGTGGCGTGCCAAACCCCCCCTCCCCCCCACCCCCCCTCCCCCCCTCCCTTGGGATACATTTCACACATTCGCAAATATTTTTCATTTTGGCCGTGAATGCAGGGTGGGCAAACTGTTTTTCATGTGTAGACCCCTCCACCATTTGGATTTTTTGAACACGCTAATTCAAGAAGTATTCTAAGAACCCACCGAAATTCGTTCTCCTTGCACGATTCTGGCCATGCAGTGAATCGTAGGGTGAAACGCGCCTTTCCAAGAAAGCCTCACGGACTAGTTACCGAAAATATTGAACTTCATTTTCCCAAAACCAATCTTCCGATGACCGAACACATGCACATTGACGTAGAATAAAAGCGACTGGGCGGAGACAGACGTGGGAGAGGGTTGAGTTCTAGGATCAGATGGTTGGTTAGGGCACGATACAGTATAGCTGCGGAGACCCGCTATGTGGGGACCATTAAAACATTAGGGAGAGAGAGAAAGGGAGGGAGGGAGGGAGAAGAGAATGGGTGAGTGGGTGGATGTGTATGAAGGAAGAAGGGAGAGAACGAGTGAGTTAGAGAGGGGAAGCCCCCTTCTACGTTGGAGTTCTACGATCGGACGATAGGTGGAGGCACGGTGGCTGCGGAGAATTTCTTCGTAGCTTCCAACTATAGTGGCGTGTTGTGAATGGAGAGCATTGATTTTCTCTCGCTTTGCCTTTTCAAGCGCCATAGTTCCCAGTTACCCATAATGCCATGGTCCCTTTGCTTGGATAAGGAAGGTGTGGGAGCACGGGAAACGGGAGCATCATGGGTGGGAGGAAGAGAGAATGTCGGACTAGGGTCACCGGGACGACACGAATCATAAACTTACCTGACCGGGGAGAAACGGTGATCAACCAGGCCGTTCTCCCAGGGTGAGGCTTTTCCATTGCACTTCGGTTGAGCTGACCCCTGTGACTGCCCCAAATGCGGGTAGGTCAACGGTGCAATTTTTGCCTTTGGGGAGTCTGCGTTCGCGCGGATTCCCTGACTATTTCGGAAAAGAATTCAGTCGCTCGGGATATGTTATCCTGTGAGATGACTCATGCACTGATGTGAAATGAAGTGTAGTATCAACCATGTAACTATCCTATGTTGCAATGCGGCATACTTTTCCGTACGGAACACCCCTAACGCGATACAAATCCTTTCACTCGTTGAAATCGGATCCACAGTATAGGTCAACGGTGCAATTTTTGCCTTTGGGGAGTCTGCGTTCGCGCGGGCTTCCTCAAATGACTGAAAAGAATGTACTATATAGTGTGAATAATACTGCCATGTCAAATGGCTGGAAAGAGTTTTCTTCCCCAAAAATAATGCATAGGGAATATCTCGGCAACCTAAGCCGTCGCTTAATAAAATGTGTCGCTACGATTATTAGAGATCACACCGGTCCAACTTCTCCCAGCAAATGAAGGCAGTTAGCATTTCTCAGAAAGGTAGCTCTTTTCCCCAGGGATCGTATTCCTCATGTTTTCTCCAAGGCCAAAGAGCTTAAGGCCCGAATGCTGAAACCTCCTTTAGTTAAAGGTCCTTTAGGAATACATGGACTCCTATGGGGAGAAAAGAGCTCTTTAGTTTAAAGGCCCCTTTGTCTAATCTAAATGAGGTATGTGCATTCGGACCATACAGTTTTCGAGCCGTAGGTATCAACCGTGCCACAGGGCTAGGTATGACCTCTATCTTATGTACCAGATAGCTGCCTCCTTTAGAAGATAATAGATGACACTGTCTTAAATTTCATAATAGCCTATGGCGGTACTCATTGCTCTCATTCTTGTGGCACTGTCTGTCCCTGCCCGATGAACCGGAGGCACAACTAAGGGAAGATGAAAGACGAAAAAAAGGGGGGAGGGGAGGGGGAAAAAGGGGGGGGGGGGGAGAGGGGAAGTTCGAAAGAGCGGCAGCCTCTGCACTGGTCCCAATCTCACCGACTTGTAGTGTAACATCGGAAATACAGTAATAGCTACTTTTCTGTCACATTGACTCTTTCCTTTCCATCCTGAATCTCCCCATTCAAATGACAATTCGAACATGTGAATGGGTGCCACAATCTAGAGTAAGACGGTTTATTACATCGGTTTATGTCATCGAAAGATCTTTTCCTTCGTGACGGAGCGCGCCTAAAGAGTAAGGAGTTAGGAAAAGCCTTTTTTCCCCGACGATCTGAGATTCTGACCCGTCCATTACGGTACAGAAGCGAAATTACCATTTTTGCCGCCCGGAAATGGTAAAAAAAAGTTCAGGTGCATTTCCATCTGCTGGTACCTTGTGGAGGAAAGAGAATTCCGCGTGGAATTCGTGAAAGAGCGTGCCCGTCCCGTTGAATTTCGGCCTTGCAAGCTGGAACATATTAATAAAAATGTCATTTTGTAATTTTGATGTGCGATTCCTTGGAGAAAATAGTTGTTATTTGCATTTTTAAATTGGCAGTAATCGCTACTATGCGAAATATGTGCTCTTGGCTGAGTCTTATGTTCCTCTGTCGCTACGTATGCATATGAATTATGCATACAGTAGATATATGCATTTGCAAGAGAATCCGCTCCATATCAAGCGCATTCAGGTCTACGGGGACATCAGGATTTCCGTGCGGGTGTTTCTAGGACGAATTATTGATATCATGAAAGGAACCGCATGACCGCATTGGAATACACTGATATCTTCAGTTGGTCTAAGAAACAGGCGATTAATATCAGTAACACACGTCAATAGGCTTTTTGCTTTTAAGCTATTTACTTTTGAATGTTAATTGTGGAGGAAGAAAGAGAAAGAGATGGAGTGATTGTGAGTGTGTGTGCGCGCATGTGCGTGCGTGTGTGTGTGTGTGTGCGCGCGCGCGCGCGTGAGAGCTTGTGCGTGTGTATTTCTCAACCTTCCGGTAGATGGAGATAGCGTGCCAACACTTACTAATTCAATACGCTTTCCTTATGTACTGATTTTTCTGAGAAGAAACGTTGACTTGTTCCCGTTTCTCACTTAGGAACAGTCTGGTTCATAGTGGAATCAAACCTCGTGGATGATTTCAATGGAAAGGGAAGAGGAGGGATGGCTGCGGAATGGTGGGATGGGGCACGGTGGGAAGAAGGGAAGATTGGCTAGGGTCACCGGGACGACAGGTATCATAAACTTACCTGACCGGGGAGAAACGGTGATCAACCAGGCCGTTCTCCCAGGGTGAGGCTTTTCCATTGCACTTCGGTTGAGCTGACCCCTGTGACTGCCCCAAATGCGGGTAGGTCAACGGTGCAATTTTTGCCTTTGGGGATTCTGCGTTCGCGCGGATTCCCTGACAATATCACAAAAGAAAGGTGTATCGCGTTAGAAGGCACAAGTACTAGGAATGTTTTGGAAACTTTATTCCTTTGCGTTTGCTTAATATTTTATATAAATTTAATGTCCCATTAAAATGAGATTAGTGATATAGAGAACTTTCATTGGGGGGGGGGGAGAGATATTTCATTAGTTTCCACCACCCTCCCTCTATCCCACCTATCACCACCCTCTGTCCTATCTCCGTTTGCATTTTTCCGTCTGTGGTAAAGCCTTAATATCAATTCCACATGCAGGCCCCAATGAAAATTAATTTATGTGCTTATTAAATTTTTAAAATAGATCGTGAACCTGGCCAGGGAGAGGAAGGGGGGTGGAGGGTGGAACGGTTGCCCCTCCTCCCCCTCCCTACCCTGTATCCGCCGCAAGTTGAGATGAAATGAAGTGGAATTACCCTTTATTAGCCTTGATTTGGCCTGTCAGCACAAAGCAAAATACGAGGGTTGATCAAAAAGTTCGTATTTTGACCTATAAGGAATTTATGTATCGGCTCGAAATTTCAACAGCCTCTAGTATAACTCTTTGTAATAGTGTGTACCAAATTTTATCATCGGACTAAGGTTACCTTTTTTATTATAGGTATTTGTGTGACGCATGTCAAAGAAAAAATCGAAAATGGAGAAATCTGAAGTGCGCGCTGTCATCAAATACCTCCGTTTGAAGGGCATGACCCCGCAGGAAGTGCATGCCGACATGCAACAGACATTAGGGGACTCTGCTCCAGCTTATTCAACTGTTGTTAAGTGGTGTGCTGAATTTAAGCGTGGCAGAGCTTCGTGCGAAGATGCTGACCGGTCCGGGCGCCCATCAACGTCTGTTTCTGAGGAAACCATAGGAAAAGTGCGTGATCTCGTCATGAATGATCGTCGATTGACTGTCAGATGCATTTCTGAGTCTGTTGGCATTTCGTATGGCAGTATACATTCAATATTAACCGATCACTTGAAGCTGAGAAAGGTGTCTGCAAGATGGGTGCCACGAATGTTGACGGATGAACAAAAGGCAAGTCGACTGCGGACATCAACGGCACTTTTGGAACAGTTTCGTCAAAACCCAGAGGATTTTTTATCCCGGTTTATAACCATGGATGAAACATGGGTTCATCATTTCGATCCAGAAACCAAACAGCAAAGCATGGCTTGGAAACACTCAACATCTCCTCCTCCCAAGAAATTTCGTGTCGCAGCCTCGGCGGGCAAAGTCATGGCGTCCGTTTTCTGGGATGCTGAAGGGGTCGTGCTGGTTGATTACCTGGAACGAGGAGCTAGCATCACTGGCAACTACTACGCACAGTTAATTGGAAAACTTCGTCAGGCAATCAAGGACAAGAGACGCGGGAAGTTGCGACGCCGTGTGCTGTTCCATCAAGACAACGCACCCGTCCACAAGTCTTCAGTTGCAATGGCCGCCATCAGAGATGCGGGATTCGAAGTACTCGAACACCCACCCTATTCTCCAGATCTGGCCCCCAGTGATTTTTATTTGTTCCCAAAACTGAAGGAACACCTTCGGGGACAGAAATTTTCGAGTAACCAGGACGTGATGTCTGCTGTAAATACCTGGTTGGAGGACCAGAACAAAGAATTTTTTTCAACTGGGATCCGAGCATTGGAGCACCGCTGGACTAAGTGCATTTCAGTTCAAGGGGACTATGTCGAAAAATAAAAAAAAAAACATTCCGCTACGCACAGTCTTTCACTCCCAAAATACGAACTTTTTGATCGCCCCTCGTATGTTGGCTTCTTTGGTAAAATATGCTCGTATTCCATGAACTCGCTGTTTCTGACACACATTAACCCTTATAGTGCCTTATAAATAGATCGAGCGCTCGGACTAAATACATTTCTTAACCTTTTTATAGTCAGCTCCTCGACACTGGTATTTTCCAATGAAATTCCTAGCGTTGATCTAATTGGCTCAGGCACTATGAGGGTTAAGGCAAGTCAAATTTGTTTAATTCAATGAATGTAATCAATCCATTGGTCTTATCGATGTATATTATTATTTTTGAATATTCATTTTCTCCACATTTCTGGGTCCTTGGAGTGGCAATACAATACATCCGGGATGGTAATAATCATGCCCAACATGGAGATAAGATAGGTGCACGAGAGCCTGGCAAACAAGACATTTTGTTCCGGGAGTAGTGGGGTTCAACGGTCAAGGGGTTCTCAAGAAGTTCACCGGATTCACGCTCACACGTGTACGAGGTGCATTCAAAAAGTTATGTAACCATTTTTAAGTGCATCTTAATTGACAGAAAGATTCTAATTATGCCATCTCGTCGCTTTATATATTTCTTACATCTCTATTTTTCGTGTTCATCTCTGTGTATTCGATGTAGGCCTATAAAAAATAATTGATATTGACATTGCTACAGAGACAAGGTGAAATGGCTCAGTTTAGTAAAGATAAACAAAGATCTGTTAATCTGCTTCATGAGCCTACAGAGGAAGAAAACTGCGGAGATTCATACCGAACTTGTATGTCATAAATGCCCTCAGAGAGTACTGTCTGTTTACAAAACAATTAGAATCACTTGCGTAGGCATTTATTTGCCAGCCAGGCTGCGATAGGTTCTGCGATTTTGAAAATGAGCAACAAGCATGCATTGCTAGCTTAACAGAGATAAAGAGAGGACTTTTTGAATTCACCTCGTTCGTAGCGAAAGGGAAAAGTAAGATTTCTTCATTCGCGCTTGCTCCTCTGCTTCAGGCTGCCGAGAAAATATTTGAGAAAAAGGATGACGAAGAAAAGATAGACGGCGGAGGAGACGGAAGCGTTTGTCGGAGTCACATCACAATCCAGGCCGACCATCAAGGCAAACAAGGTCCAAAAAGTGGCAAAGGTTGCGAGGAACATCTGCAGAACCTGAAGTGAGGTGATGAAGAGCGGCACGAAACGGGCGAAAGCGAATCCCAAGGTCGTCAAGGCGAAATACGTATACATGATGGTGTGCACGAAGTAATTCAGGCCTCCGAACCATCTTCCGGTCGACATGAGACCCCCGACTCCGTAAGCAGAGAAAGGAACCACGATGGCATGATGAAACCAATGGATGAAACGCACCGGTTTTTTCCTCAGAACGAGGAAAATAGTGTCGCCCAGCTCCACTATCTTGGAAACCACGAACAAATAGGACCAGTAGTTCGTGATCGGGTCGTAGAGGTAGCTGCGAAGGGAGGAACGCGAGAGATCGTGAGGCGAGGGACGATATTTTGGTACAGGTGAATTCGTGACCCTACCTGTTACTGCAGATAGTTGCATGGAATCCCGATCCACTGGCGACGCGAATGAGCTCCTCGTTGATCCTGATGGCGCCCACTGCGCTGAAAGCGGCCATGCCGGCATTCCATACAAACAGGGCCACTGTGAGTCTGTACGGAGACAGCGACCTCATCCATCGCTGCAGCACCCAAATCAAGAGCAAGTAGACGATGGCGATGGGATAGGTGAAGGGGTAGTAGGACTGAATCCATTTCAAAGTCGTTTCCGGCTCGTTGCCGGCCTCGAAGGGGAACAGCAAGGGGGCAGACATGACTCGCGTTGTGTGTGTGTCGGGTGTACGATCGATGAGACCGCGCGCGGAGGAAGCACGGCCTTTATCTATTCGGCCTTGTTCATTCCCGCTCTCTCTTTGTCGTCGCCTCCTTGCACGGGCTCCCCATCCCGCGAATCCTCACGCACGTTATCATGGATCCTATTCTGGGAATAAGAAGACAAGATCAGGTCACATCACACGAATCGATTGCATTTTAGTAACCGTGATATCCAAATCGAAAGGTCCTCGAATGGACGGCGTTCTTATGCCCACTCGGCATCAAAAATGGCAATAATTACTATCTGTCAATGTTAACATTGGTCCGAAAATTCACACTGGTATCAAAGTGAGATCTTATGTGAAGGCCATACAGCCGCACAGGCTGACATGATTTTTCTCATTCATTAAAGGAAAGGGGCATCATATCATAGCATCAAATGCTGATATTTCCCTATGAATTTCAATTATTTATTTTGAAAACGAGGCTAAGCCAACCGTGGGAGTTCCTGCCTCTTTCCGAAACTTATCGCATGCGAGTCCTACTGTTCTTGATTGTAACGAGATTGTCACGAGATTGTCACGTTTGTCAATTTCAATTTTTTTTTATTTCCCCTGCAATGACATGATTTCCGAAGTGAGCCTGAGATTCCCCTCCGATCCCTTCTGAATTCTCCATGCCGGTACATTTCATTTCCCGTACGAGATTAGCAAAGGAGGCATCTCCGATGTAAAGGAGATGGAATTTAGCGGATTGGTGAAACCAGAAACCCGGAGAACTTCATTCTCGCAAGCCACTCCAACGACCCCAATCATCAATTCGAGTCTCCTGAGCCGTGAGAACTTCGAGGTAAGAAACGGTTAGAAAGCAAACTTGCGAAACGTTTCCTGAAAACTTGAAACGAAATTGCTGCGAGGATCTAGATGCGATTGTCTATCTACCCAAGCATAGACGCAAAGGACGCATGACCCGTTAAGTGTGAAACGCCATATGGTGTTTTTTTTTGCAGCGATGACTAGGAAATAATCTGGGAACGAGTGAGTACCTCCAACAACATCGAGATGACGCTGGCGCTGCAGCCATGGAGGATATACAGGGTGTAACAAAAGTAAAAATGGTGGGGCTATAGCATAGGGATAATTTCCTCTTGGGAATTCACCACAGCATAGATTAAGGTAATGTCAATTATATCATCACAAAAAGTGGCAGAGGTGACCTCCAGCAATCTAAATTGACTAATAACTTCATATAAATTATCCAATAGTGAAAAAAAATCCTGTAAAATTGATCAAGAGTAGCCTAAATTGATCTAGATTGATCCAAGGTTACCCTGTGGGAGGCCAAAATTAACAAAATTGACCAATCGACTCAACTTGTGCCCACTTTTCCTGAAAACTCCTCATTAAACCTTCAAGTTTATGCTCAATAAATTTTGCATGCACTAGGAAACCCGTGACGAGTTTGCGAATCTATTTGGGTCACTTTTGGTCGCACAGGGTCATCCTTGGATAACTATTCGGAAGCTGTGTCCATGGTTCAGCTTGCGCCACTGAGTCATTCCGGATCAATTTTTCAAGTTTTGTGATAGATAACTTTAGCACTCTAGTATCGATTCAGGTTGGCGACTCAGTCTTGGCCACTCAGATAACAGTCCAAACAGGTATGATTCCTATGCTATAGTCCTGCGATTTCTGACTTTTGCCACACCCTGTATATACCTCAAGATCTAAATTTACTCTAATGATTCAACGACGGGGATGAAAGTCGGCCTGAATTCGGGGCAGTATAGTCAGGAAAATAACGGACCGTGCAGCTAGAGCCATCTGAAGTATCTCAACGTAAGGGATGGGGCCACGAGCTAGAGGACGTCTCATCCATATGGAACCTTCGCCTCCGATATCGAATGGAATTAACAGCTGAGGCTAGAGAATAGAAGAGGCTTGGACGAGAGACTAACGGAACGGACGAAGAAATGGAATAGAGAGATAGGTGTTCCCGCGCGAAAGGGTGTCGGGACGAATTGCCTTACGAGTGATAGTAAACCTCTTTACCTGTGTTCTTTTGGCGTTGTTGAAGCCCAGACTCGCTAGTCATCACGACCCGACACTCCCAAGGACCGGAGATCGATGGAAGGTAAGAGACGCGTGCGCAGCCCCAACTCGACCGCCTCGTTTTTTTTTTGTCTCCCCGTGACGTAGTGAAGGGACGGAGAGCGTAGACGAGGCGACAAGCCCCCATCGCTCGCAGCAGAGACGGAGACATATGCTTTCCTCTTCCTAGCTTATAAGGCTGACGTCATGACCCACCCCTATAGCTTATACAGTTTATTTTACTGACGTCCCCCCCATAGACGTATCGAGCGTGCCGTCGGATAACCTGACGATTTCACCACGCATCCGATCCTTGCAAAGAAGGGCCTGCGTTGAGAGGCGAGGAGTGGGAAGTGGGTGAGACATGCGCATTGGGCCCTAGACCATCCCCCTCATCGACCTCAGTTGCGTGTGTGTGTTGGTCTGATGAGAGCCACCTCCCCGATCGTACACAACAACCGAGGTTACAACACTCCTCCTCACGTATCCAGGGACGTCATTTGGTAAAACTGCAAGAGAAGCTGCAAGCAAAGAAGCTATGCAACCTGAAAAAAAGGGCTGTCGATCGATTATTCATCGATTCCTTAGTTCTTCCTTGAATCTTGTCCAAGACGTAGGGCATGATTCTGCTCATGTCATGCCCAACACCTAGGCGAACCTTAGGAGAAAGTGACTCGAGGCGATGCAGTCGCTAACAGCAGTTACTATCCATACGCACTCGAGTTCAACCAACATGGGACATATTCCAATCGGAGAGCACATACGTATAACTTTGCTTAAATTTCATTATGTATCTGTCTAAGAAACGCACCGAGGCCTTTTTGCCATTTAGCCAACCCATACCGAAAGGATGCAAAAATGTAACCAAAATTATTTGAATTATACAGTGACCCTTCACAAGGTGGAGATTTAAAGATTCATTATCGATTCACAGGCATCACAGGATGGAAGAACGGAAAAAGCTAATAATAATAGAATATTTCACACTTTCGTTTCCTCTTATCTCGCCTGCTTCCGGCTTTCCCCCTTTCCCGGTTACTTTCCGGGAGCTCCCACCGCCGGCGCACTAACAGGTACACCTCTCACCTTTCAGTCTTTACATTAACCTCTTTCCCGCCTCTCCTGTCCCTGCCCAAATTCCTTATTCCTTCTGCGCGTTCCCTGGCAGCTTCATGACGACTTTCTTTTCACCACTCGCATCCAGTGACTTTTCGGTTGCTTTGTCCAAGGCATCTGCTACCTTAGCCTGACGAGCGAGGCCTTTCTAGGCCGTGGGCTTGGCGGAAGGACATGGGATGCATGCTAGTACGCATGTAGATGCGAATGGGCCAGAAAATTTATTTTTGGAATAGTCTGAAAGCGATGGCTTTGTTTTTGTGCGTTCCCTTTTTCTGGAAAAAAAAAATAGGAAGTCATTTTTGAGGAAGAGTTAAATTTTACGGTGAATAAGAGCCATTCAGGGGTAGATTGGGGTTTCGATTGATTTCCGATTAATTCCGACTAATTTAGACTATTTTTTAAATCACGGTTATTACTTTAAACGATTAATCGGTTGATTAATCTAATATAGGGGGACAACCCTGAAAAAAAAGCACAGTTCAACCAGAAATGATATCGCCTTCTCAATTTCGCGAAATTTTACGAGGCACAGACAATAGCGAAATTTAATTGCTGGTGAATTTCCCCCCGTATGGGCTAATGGCCAAAACATAGGAAGTGGCCCAGCTCGTGGAATTCAAAATTCGCGTAATTATGTTTTAAATAAGCAGATGATTTGATGATGAAGCAGATGATGACAGAAGTTGGCTGCAAGAAGAATGGCATTTAATTAGTTGAGACTACAAACATGGTTGCACTCGGCAGCAGGAAATCTCTCAAATGAGAGTTCAAGAGGCGTAAAGCAGATTCGCAGAAGTTCTCTGGTTCAGGCAAACAGTTTTAACGACCAAGAAATCTATTAGGTTTACGGCAACAGCAGAGCGAGGAACTTTCAATATTTGCGAATTCGTCAATCAATTTACCCCGTGTTTGGTTTCAGTGCAGCCAATGGCAGACAACTCCACATTTTTCTTACTCGCTTCATGGCAGAGAAGAGTTTCTTGGCTCATGCAGTTGTTAAAGGCAGAGTTAAAACAGGGTCGATTAACTTCAAGGTTCGAGAGTGCATCTCTTGAGTTCATTATTGCTCTGAGATTTAACAACAAAAAAGAACAGGAACCATGGAAACCATGCCGCATGAGAGCTCTAAAGGCAGACTTTCAGGCTATTACATTACGGGGAATAAAGGAGGCCATTTAACCCTTTCAGTCCGGGCGGGACCCAGGAGTCCCGCATTTTCTTCGCATAGTTATAGGGTTACACAGGAATGCACGACCTTGAGGCCATTGCAGGAATCTGAGTCTCAGTTTATAGTAGTTCACCTCATATTGTCAAGTTGACAGCATTCCTCAGTAATATGAAGCTGCTATATTTCCTCTGGCACTTCAAAAATGTTGTCATCTTTTGCATTTATTTCAGCTAATACATTTCTTTTCCAGCAAATTTTTTTCTGTTTTTGCAAGCTAGATAGTGGAAGGTAGTACAGGAATGCTGGGAAACATACGACGTAAAATAGGGATATTAGTACTAGCTGAACTAATTAAATTACTTTAATTAATCATATTTTAAAATAATTGAATAAATATTTATTGTACATGAAACAATTTTAAAAGCACTTTCGTTTTTTTTTAACCCTTGTTGAAGCCCAAAAAGTAATACATTTTTTCATTGCCTAGAACATACTTCATGACTGAAACGGTTAAAAATCGCTTCAAAACACAAAGGAGGGGGGGGGGGGCAACTTCCCCCCTTGCCCTTCCGAAATGATATCTCTGCACGTGTCTCCCACGTTCAGTCTCTATCTTTGAATGGTTGAAGAAGCTGTGAATTCGCTAGATAATCTGACGGATCGAGCAACTTGAACTCTATCTCTCATGACTTGCAGAACCGAAACGAAAACGAACTATCAACAGACTATCTTCGAACATCAATGATCTACCTCATGCCGATCGTAAAATACCTTCACGGAAAGAAGTTGCTTTCATGTCACATGCAAAGTGATACAAATAATGCCAACCTATTTTACCGAAGTCCCGACTCAGGAATGCCTCTACTCAAACTTACTCGTACACAAGAGGACCGACACGAAACACATGCGTACCCGAGCAGAGCTCGACCGTGAAAGTGCAAGGTCAGAAACCAGCTAGACGAGGGACAGAGAAGCCAGACATACGGCCTTGGGCTTTCCTGCGCATTACTTTCAAGCTGGAGCAAGTCTTCACGCGCATTTATTCAGCCGCAGGCTATATTCACCCTCCCTGTCCTTGTTAATGAATGGTGTTTTGTAATATTGCCCTAAATAATTTATACTGGTCCGTTTTATATATTGCTGACGTCGGTATAAGTTTCTTACTTGAGGGAGGGGAAGGCGATAACCAAAACAGACATCGTTTATACAGCGATATGCAGGCGGCCTTGTTTTTCGATATCCAGTCGGGGAACCTCGGCTTCGCCTCGATCTCCTCTCCTTGATATTGAAAATAACTCGCCCGCCTGCAGATCGGTGCGTATGTGACAAGGCCCTCCAGAGTGGCTTGGTGCGTGGACATTTTTCACTTGCCGTGGAAGTAACGGCGCTATAAAAGACCGTGACTGCACTCACTCCATTCATTGTCTTTCGAGCTCTCGAGGAGGTCGGACTCAAGGCAGTCCAGAGTACTCACGTGCCCGGCAACTCTGAGAGGTCTCAGATACCTTCGTGGCATGTGAATGTGCGTGAGACTGAACATCCCTAGCCTCTCCGAATTTCAACCGCACCGGTTTTCCTCATTTTTTCACCTTAACGAACATGAATAGGAGGCTCGTCCTCTGCTACCACTTATATTCCATTCGAGAAAGTCCTGTAGAGAATTGGATACGAGGCATGGTAAGCCTCTGCGTATCGGGACCTTTTGTACAGACTCCTCTCCCCTTGTACATTTCTTCGCTACGAGATTAATATTCGTTTAAAATTTATATCGGGTACCTGAATCGCCTGATGAGACAAACTGTATCCTGTTCGAGTCAGAACTCCTGCAATAGTGATGTTTCCTTCTCACCATAGGGAGGCACGTATGGAACTTCAGAGTAGCGATTTCACTGATTTCATTCAGTTGATCATGAGAAATCCTCTCAGATACGTTGTCCTCGTCCTGAACCTGAATAAATGAACCTAGAGATATCTGATGGGACTTGATTCCGGTGGTCGTTTTCTCAGTTCTGAATGGTGCTTAGTTTTTGCTTCTCTTTTTGGGCCTGGATATTTTGGAACTCTCCGTAATGGGTGGAGCCCTATTTCTCTTATTACCTTAAGTTGGATTACACTTTCAAATGATGCATGAACAGCTCCACTTTTAAGTCATTTTCTCCAGATGTGCAATACGTGATACGAGAGAAAGCGAGAAGAGACTACTGAGACACACCTGACTGGGTTCGCTACTGGAGGGCAAGTAGTGAGGTAAAGGGCTCCGTTCCCCCCCCCCGTATGTCTCAGGTACATTGCGCGCGCATAGGTTTTTTATTTCCACTTGCCTGCCTTCTCTGGAGGACCTTAGCCAGACTTCTTTCAGGCTGCAACCGACGCTCTGTCTGCACCACAGGTAGTAGACGCTATACAACTATACAACGCTATACAAGGTAGCTATACAACTTCCGTAGTTCATAACTTTGAGCCTTCGTCACAGCGCAACGAAAGTGGTATTGAAACAAAGGCATAGACTCCAAGCTTTATTGCCAGCAATTACCACAACTCCATGTGACTACCAAAAATGACGTGGCAGATATCCCGGCGATACTCAATCTCATCTCATATCCGTCGCAGTACGTCCGGTGAAACTCTGGCAGCGACCGCAGTGATCCTTTCCTTCAGTTCTGGCATATTTAATGGCAGTGGTGGCTGGCAGACCTCGTCCTTGATAAAACCCTGCAAACAAAAATCCAGCGGAAAAAATGTATCCACACATCACAAGAAAAAGTCTAACGGCGTGAAACCTGCAGCCTTCTTTTAAGATTTTTTCACTGGACTTTTCCTTACTGCAACGGGTATGGGATGATATTGAATATCGTC